CATCACGAATTATTCTTCAAATTTTAAGGATAAATCATGTCCTATGATATCCTGAATATCCAAACATCTAACTCTATCTGAAGTTATGAATATAAATAAATCACTAATCACATACAATTAAGAAGGAGCTATTTGATTGAATTTCACTTTCAATATTTACTCAGCTGTTGTATGTTTATAACATAAACCATTTACAAAATAAAAGATTTTAATTTATATAATAATCTAAGAATTTTCTATGATAACAGAACATTTACCATTATTGTGAAACATTAACTTTTAATGCTTTGAATCATAATAAAATATAGTTTAAAGGATAAAAATTAAGAAGAATGTGCATGAATTTGATCGGATTTAATTTTATGATCACTTAACATATTATCTAACTGTCATTAGCAGTAATTTAATAGGTTTTTAGAGATTGTTCAATCTTATGGTTTACATCACAGACAGATTTTATTTAGACAATCATTAGAAAACTACAAAACATTGAACAGTGGTGCAATGATTGACAACCAATGATGATACCTGAAATTCTTGGTTTCGATCTTTGATGGGGTTGTGGACACATCTTGCAGGTGATCAATGCCATGTGTGTCATATACTTTTTAGTTCAGATAGGATTTCCTGTTGCCTACCTTCAACCACCATCTTATTTCAACATAGTACACGCAAAGTCGAGTCAACTTGACTAGTGGCCACATTACAACTTGGTCGATAGCATTCGATCTGCACTAAGAAGGACCTGACATGCATGATATTGATCACCACCCAGTGATCAATCAATTGTGAATACATCTCAGTTCTACAGGAGGTCAATCGCTGCCCGGATAGCTCAGTACTAACGTCTTTCACTGTGAAGCTGAGTGACACGGGATCGAATCCATCAGGGAGCATCAGTCCCCTTAAGATTATAGGTACACCTTGCTAACGAATGCCAAATAGCACAAAACTCAGGTTCATGGTTTCCTGTTGACTACCTCCAAACACTATCTTCTCTCAACTGGTTTTGACTTCCAGCTTGAATTTTTACACTGGAATTTGTGTATGTACAACTAAAGAGTTCTAACTAGACCAAAACCCATACCCAAGACTTGACTGTCAACCACAATTCATATTTTTTTCCTATGAAAATTTGTCCCGTTACCATTGTTAACCGAAGATTTATTTCACTAGGTATTTGTGTTTCTATCTCTTTACTCAAAAGGGTTCAGATTGTGTATTCGAAATTGATTAGCATAAAATTAATTTGAATTATTTTTAAAAAAAAAGCATTTTGTTGAATGAAAAATTTACCGATTCCTTCAGACATTTGACCGTGTGTAAACATGAAAAAACGAAGGAAACTCCCAATTTCACTTATTTGTTTGTCTATCTATATGTTGTAGCTTTTTGTTTTGTTATCAATCATGATAAAATATATGGTAATAATTTCTTTTTAGTTAACCTACTGATGATGCCGATATAAGTAGTACGGATTATATTCATAAAACTTCACTGACCCAATAATGATAATAATAAACTTGATAATATTGATAAATATGACACGATCATGCATAAACCTTTGAATATTTTCCAAGTATATGATGATTATCATTATCTTCCCCTGTCAAAGATATTACCGACATTTAAATTTGTTCATAGTCTGTAAATAAAAGTTTATTGATGCATATTTACTGTACGTATGTGTGAATGTGTACGGGTAGGCAAAGGAATAATATGTGACCTAATTCCACCGAAATCTGATGTTCATATGTAAATTTCCAACATATTTTTTTTATTAAATAAATAGAATTGGTTGAAAGCATGAAAATTTCACATTCGTCATAATCATTATCAAAATTGTCAACATCATCAACATCGTCATCGACAATAACAATAAAATAAATAAAAAAAAAAAGAGAGGACTACTTAACATCGGTAAACAACAATGTTATGACCTAGACAAAAATAGGAGAGAAGAATAAGTAAATAGATTGAATAAAGAAAATAACTGAAAAAATATACAGGAAATAATAAACCTTTAATTGTAATTCGTTTAACTAGGTAATCCAGTTGAAGTTGAATCATTTTTCGGAGATATTTCATGAAAATACTAATGATATTACTAGACTGTAATGATTAACAATATACGATTATGGAGATTGTTGAATGTTATTGAAATCTTGAGTTGATCTAAGTTAGATAACCATTGAAAGACTGCAACTAAAGGACGGCCTTTTTGTCTCGGTATGGGACTCTTCAGTAGTGACAAATACACGACCCCGTATCCGGGTATCAAACTCAAGACCTTCGGTCTCATATGTTAACGCCCAAACTCTAAATCACTGATCCAGTACTAAATGGTGTACGAGTCTAATTTTAATCATTCAACGACACCGTAACCATTTTTCATTGAAATCTACTGCTTGTAGATCACCATAAGGACCTCGCGAATTTCCTCTCGAAGTTCGACACCAGTGGTCACTTGGTAAGTAACAATAATAATCAAATTTAGGAGAGGAGAAATTTTATTATACAGTCAAATGGTTAACAGTAAGTTGTTAGAGACAATGAACCACTGATAAATAAAATAGACTATTAGCTGTAGAGAATAATAATCATAAAGATATGGCCGTAAAATATATTTTCATAAAATGAACATCAGTTTAATATTGTGTCCAGCTCATATTCAATATAAGTAAATACTAACAAATATAGGTCATCTCTTAGATAACTTCTAACTTCAATTCCCTTCAAACCAGAAAATTGTGTACAGAAGCGATATATGCAAGCCCTCATTCTACCATGGCGTTAATAATTAGTTTTTCATACTCAGTTAATTAGTTGTTGATATGGTTTTTTAGTGTTTATTTAGTTTCTGGATCGTTTGTTATTATCAGCTTCGTGTTTCTTTTACGAACTTTTTTCTCACCTTTAAGATAGGGGTTGGGGGTAGCCAATTGGAAACGTTGCTCAACTTAGGTTTCGTGTTATTTGACACTCATCAGCAAGTAGTATCTATAATCTTGAGGGGACTTACGCTCCCTTTTGACTATCTCCAACCATCATATTAAATCTCAGCATAGTGCGTACGATTTCGACTCAGTTAGACTAGTGGCTACATTCTAGCCTGATCGATGGAATTTGATCAGCACTTAGGAGAAATTGACATAAATAACATTGGTGACTACTCAATTGGTTGTAAATTCTTCATCATCCTCACACTTATTTACTGGACAATTATCTTTTACAAATTTTGACTTCATGTTATCACTTTCTCACTTGTTGTTCATAACTTAACCCTCTTCTGATGCCTTAAATTCCCAAATAATTTATTAATTAATCCCCTTCCTATTATTTTAACAGACCACTACTATACTACCATTATAAATACAATTGTACAATCTTAGTAAAGAATATCGTTGAAAACGAAGCATTTCTTTACTGGAATGTCTTTTATTCCTTTTTTTATTAACTACTTCACTAAGTACTTCCTTGAAGCTAAATATGAGGGCAAGTGACCTTATCCGGTTGCCTAAACGAAACAGGCAGAGTGGAATTCAAACCTGGTACTTAGTGACTGACTAACTAATTAACTACTAACCCACTGCTTCACAAATAACTTTTGACAGTAGTGTCAATTATCATGTCTTTGAGTGAGAGCAATTGTATTTACTGACATTTCTCCGATTTTCGGATAAACCGTTCTAACATAATATTGTTAAGATGATTCATTTGTTGGTTTCCATATTTGGTTCAATTCTTGTTGATCTATAAGGTCAAGAATCAAGTTAGGGGGATAACAATTAAAACAAATAATGGAAGCTTTGAAAGGACAAGAGTCAACAGCAATAATCAATTAATCAAGCTCAAGTCCGACGGAATAGATGACTGTCAGTCATACGTGGAGAAACTTGAATACCTCATTTCTGTCAACAATCTGTACTGATGTTTTTGTTCAGAGAGACAATGAATGCTTCACAATTAAACTACCTAGATTAAAAAAAGAAACTTCACTAGAATGACCCAGCTCAGCTGTATCATGTCAACTGTTAAACCATGTAAATTATTAAGTAATGCAGCACTAAACAATTAAGTTGTACAATGACTTGACATCTATAGTTGAATCATAAATAAAATAGGATGTCATTTATCTGTAATGGGTTCAAATTGTTTATTTTCACATCGCTACAAAAAATTAATAAGACAAGAGGAAAATAACGAGAAATTATAAAATTTTAATTTCAGCATTCAAATAAGTAGTGATTGTGAGTGAAATTGATCTAACTAAAGTTACTTCACATGAGCAGCATATTTACAAATGAAGAACATCTGGAACTCAAAATAATTGGCAACCAACACCAAGATCAGGATTTTCAATACAAATGTCAAGATAGTTCGACTGTATGGGGCGGAAACCTGGAAAACCACGAAAGCCATCATCCAGAAGATACAAGTTTTTATTAACAGTTGTCTACGCAAAATACTTCGGATCCGTTGGCCAGACACTTTCAGCAACAACCTACTATGAGAGTGAACAAACCAGATCCCAGCGGAAGAAGAAATCACGAGGAAGCCATGGAAGTGGATAGGACACATTAAAGAAAGCACCCAACTGAGTCACAAGACAAGCCCTCACTTGGGATCCTCAAGGCCAAAGGAGGAGAAGTGGAAGACCAAAGAACACATTACGCCGGGAAATGAAGATAGACATGAGAAAAATGAACAAAAATTCGATAGAACTATAAAGGAAGGCCCAGGACAGAGTGGGTTGGAGAATGCTGGTCGGCGGCCTATGCTCCATTAGGAGTAACAGGTGTAAGTAAGTAAGTAAGTAAGTCAAGTTACTTCAAATTTCCAAAAAGACATATTACAAATACTCAAAGAATTATAGACCCCCACCCCCAAATCTCACTTTGTAAATAAAATAACGATTTTACTCACTAATATATGTAACTAAGGAATAATTAGATAGTTTTATTATTATTATTACTTCCTATAGAAAAATTACATATTCAATGAAGAGTCAAAAGTCCAATTCAATAAACGAATATTCTTCTTTTACAAATTTATTATTTCAACAACATCATTTATCAGCTTTTTCAATTCCATCACCAATAAATAAAACACAAAATGTTATTAAACAATCTACTAATCATACAAATCTTCCAATCATTAATAAACATTCAAATCTATCACGACAAAATTATAATACATCAATAAAACAATCGTCTAGTAGTAGTAATTCAGTACAATTAAATTTACAACCATTTATTAAAGAAAATGAAACATCTGTTCATCGATCATTTTATGCTCAATTATATAATTTAATGTGCTCAAAATTATCAAATAAAATACCTTATAATATGAATAATAATAATAGTAATAATAATAATAGTTTGTCGAATAAACCACGATATTCCCCCTATCCAATTCCATCAGATTTTGAAAGAAACAAATTAGTAAATGTATTCAATAAACCATACTCTTCAACACATACCAATAAAATCAATATTAATCAGATTGAACATGTAACCAACTTTATACAATGTTCCAATAATCCCGGTCAAACTAAAACACAGATTTCAAAAGTTTATGAACATAATAAAAAAAAGAAAACTTTATCATTGAATACAAATCAATCAATCAATAATAATAATAATAAGGATCAGTATCAAAATTCATCAATAAATGTATGCTCATTAAACCGATGTAACAGTTGTCCATCAGTAATCATTTCCAATTCATCATCATTATGTTACTTAAATAATCCCTGTAAAAATTTAAAGTTTCGTAGTACAAGTTATGATTCATTAATAATGGAAAAACAAAATCACTTTAAAAGATTAAATGAGTTAAATAATTTTCAATATAATTCACTGAATCATCAATACTATCATCAATATCCATCAAAAATGTCTTCATCTTGTTCAATACCTACTTCATTACTATTTGATTCATTGAAACAAAATGTTGTTCAGAATCAATCTATTAAATACAGTCAATATAATGTAAATAATGGAAGTAATTCAATAAATTGTATAAATTACACTGAAACACCGGTATCATTTCTTAATAAATGTACTAATGAGATGAATAAAGTGAATAATATTCATGAGGAAAATAATATTGATAGTAATAATAATAATAATAATAATAATAATAATAATAATAATAATAATAATGATAAATCAATGCAGACACCAATACGTGAAACGTTTCTACATTATTACTGGGCATATTATTATGAAGAATTAATGCGTTATTATATTCAACATCAAATATCAACAATGAACAGTTGTTCTACTAATTATAGAAATCCAATGAATACTACTATAATTCCTACAACTAATAATTCACAATCATGTGCATATACTCAACCGAAATCAACTATATTGAATAGCAATAATAATAATAATAATAATAATAATAATAATAATAGACATTTTAATAACCATATTACTGATTCATTGAGATCACCTGTTACACAATATAATACAGTGAATTACATTGATCATTCCAAAAACTATGAAAAAGAATCTAACAGAAAACAATTCCAAACAGAGAACGATTTTAATACTTTAGAAAATTATGATAAATTGAAAAATGTTAATAGTATTAAGAATACTACTAATACTAGTAGTAGTATAAGTAGTAATTATTATAATGTTCATCAAATTAGTGAAACAATGAATACTTTTCATGTACCAGAAAAAGTACAATTTGAGAATTTAATAAATTTACGAAACAATTGTGTTTCATCATATAGACAAAATGATCTAATATGTAATAAAAACTATATGACATCTAATGAATTGATTCAACAGAAAAATAAGCTTCCCAGTCAGAAACCTTTTGACAGTGGCATTGAAAAGAGAAATATTGTACAAACAACAAATCATCAAGATTTATGTATGAGAACACCTCCTTTTTCTGTTGCTGGTAGTTTAAGTACCACTGATATTAACCATATTAGTAATGAACAACATATAGTACCATCGGATAATCAATATTTCATAAACCAGTCGGATAATAATATTAGTAATATACATAATTCTCCTGGAATGAATAAACGCACTCGGTTACACCGCGACTTACATTCTTTGCGTTTGTCACCTGTTGTCAAAGTGTGTAGTGATAATATTGATGGTAAAACAAATAATGACAAAATTTTAGAACTACGTCAATATTCACCTTCAAAAAAACTATCATCTTTATCGTCACCATCGGCAGCGTCATCATCGTCATCACCAAACATCAGTGTGCCGTTCTCGAATATGATGCCCTCTTTAACAGCATTATCATCACGATCATCAGTACTATCGCCACAAACAAAATTCTGTCGATCAATATCCATACCGCTGGATAATCCCAGCGGTTCAATGACATTAAAACGTGATAATAAACGTAATGATACATGTGAATATTGCGGTAAAATATTTAAAAACTGTAGTAATTTAACTGTACACAGACGTAGTCATACAGGTGAAAAACCATATCAATGTAAATTATGCAATTATGCTTGTGCACAATCATCCAAATTGACAAGACATATGAAAACGCACGGAAAAGATGGTAAACCGAGATATTTGTGTAAATATTGTCATACACCATTTATAGTACCCTCGACATTGGAAAAACATATGCGTAAATGTATGCATGCAAAACACGCATTAGGATCACATACTATTACACGTCATAAACAAATGTTAAAACAAAATTCCCCTGGAAAATTTATACAATCTTGGCTAGTAGCGGCAGCAGCAGCGGCTACATCTGGATCTTCAACTGGAATGTCAACAAGTATTGTAGAAAATGAAGGATATCAAAATGATCCCATAAACTATAAATTAAACAATTACAAAAAATTGAAATCACGTGCTTCTCCAATTAATACAATGGTAATGACCAAAACAACGACAGATCCTTTAATGACAACAAATAAAGATATGACAGTTACATGTACAACAAGAACTACTGATCGCATTCGAAAAAGATTAAAATATACCAGTTTACATCACTTAAATAAATTATCGAATAAAGCAATCAATTCTTCAATTCATTATTTACTTCCCTTTTTACAAAATAATAATAATAATAAATATTATTCAACTAGTAAAAATGTTCCATTCGATATTGATTCACAATTTAAACATTGTTCTAATGATTATAACACTATGATGTGTGAAAAGAGTCAGCTGAAACCTTCATTCACTTCTGGATCCTATAAACATTTAACTAAAGATATTGAGAGTAGTAATATTAGTGACAAAGTTAACTTATTCCCAACATCAGTTTTGTCCTATACTGATCATATAACATCAGTTAAACAATCAACAATGAATACTAATCATTTATTTGTCCCACCACCTGGTATACCGAATTCCTTAATGAAATCATCAATTTCACCTATAATAACAAACAATATGGCTTCATTTTTAGACACGATAAAAGTGAATACTTCCTTGTCAAATAATCACCATCTTACTGAAAATACTAAATCTATCAACCATATTAATGCTACTTCTACCAGTAGTAGTAACAATAATAATAATAATGAAAGAAATTTATCATTTTCAATGTCTAAAATTCTAGATAATTCTCGAAATACAAAAATATTACCGATTAATTCAAATTCATCAGTTCCATCTTCAACATTATACATCTGAAATGTACCAAAAAAAAGAAAGAGAACAACACCACCAACAACAAGAAAGACGCACATTTAACAAAAAAAAATAATATTTTTTATGTATTAACTTAGATTATCATACTTTTATTATAAGTATAATTATTATTTACTGTTTCAAAACAATATCTATATTACTGATAATAATTATAATAGTAGTAATATGATTATTATTATTATTATTATTATAAATGAAAAGAAAATACTACTGTGATTTGTTTATGAATTGATTAATTTCACTTCTAATTCTAATCTTTTTTTCATTATATCACTTCTTATTAAATCTTTTTTTCCTTTTTAGTTAACTAAATAAAACCAGTGACAATACTACTTATTAATTAAATACATTCTAGATTAAGTAATATATATACGTATATACTTATAAACAAACATTTTTAACAAGATACCTTTGTCTCTTCCCAGTTGGCCATCATAAGCATTTCTTATTTTTAAACAAGAAAATGTACTCTCAATTTGTTTAACTAATTAACTAACTAACCAACTAACCAACCAACAAATGACTTATTTATTTATTTATTTAATAGAAGTGTAAACAACATTGTTTGTTTTTCATTCCATATGATGCTAATATTATTTTTATCCACTTACAAAGAAAAGAAAATATACTGAAACTCTTGGAACTGCTTTTTCTAAACAAAAAAAACTAAAAAAAAAACCAACAAATAATTTCACTTTGCAAAACAAAACAAAACTTGAGATGTTAATTACTATATGAAATAATATGCAATTGTAGATTTATTATTGAATGTACTCAATGAAATAAATATTATTCCATTCATTGTTTATATACTTTGATATTATTATTATAATAATGTGTTATGTAAATGCCTTGGAAACAAATGCAATCGAAAAGGCGCGCGCGCGCGCGAGAGAGAGAGAGGGATTAATTAGTTGATTGCAATTAATTACATTATTTAGTGTGACTTTTAATGTTTTCAGTTGTGTAAGAATAGATAAACTCTAACTGATTAGTCAATGAATTACTCAAACGATATTTAATCAGTAAAGGGGTTTTTGTGGAGATTGTTGAATGTTCGTAGTTTAAATCAGGAAACACTGACCACCTTTATATATATATATATATATATATATATATATATATATGAGTATATATCACCGACGGATTCTTCGTTTACAAAAAAATGGTAGCTTTTGCACACAAGAATATACGCAATAACTTATTTCTAATACATGAGTTTATGATTCCTTTATTTTTTGACATCCGATTGGTTGTTCTTATCTTTATTTTGTTAATTTTATTGCATCACAAATTGATGTTTGTTGTTATGTGTTGAGAATTGTTACCAACTCAAATTTCACTTTTCAGATATCAAGATTTGTTTACATTTTTTCGACTTCTCTCTATCTTCTATTTCATTGGAGATTATTTTTGAAGTGTTGTGCGTTAGTCTTCTGAATTAACAAGTTTCGCGTTGATTCAGTTCTTATTAGAATAACATCCCAGTCATTCACAATTAGGAATTCCCATTAGACTGGAGAGTGAAACTCACAGACATTGAGGGGTTTATGTTTCATGCTCGTCGGTATCTGTAACACTAAATAAATTTAGATTCTGTTATAAACAGAAACTTCAATATAAAGTCATTCGAATAAACAATAACAGTGAAAATCTAGTTCAGTCATTATGAAAAATTAAATAACATAAAACCACATGACATTATTTGGTTGATTAGTGCATCATGCTCGACATTAAGTCCCGGATTACAGTATTTTATCTATCATTTATTCATACTTGACAGTCTAAGTCGTACAAAATCATATTTTACTTTAAGTACTTACAATATAATCCAGGTCATTCATGCAGTAAGCGAACCAACTCTTATTTACGTAATCAAACGTAGCATTCGATTACTGGTAAATTTGGATTTAGTATACGTCAGATTGAATAATTAAGTATACTACAATCCAAACCGAATCCATTAAGTTAGTGAGTTACAATGGTTAAATACTGAGTAATCTGCTAACCGAATAAGACATGATTACAACTAATACATATTACTCGAGCCCCCAAATGCCCCGGTACGGCTGAGGATGCGGAGTCAGACTACCCTCTCCAAATGCTCTTACAAGGCCACGCGTACACAGCCACTGCTAAGGTAGTCCTACTCATTGCCTTCTCGCGGCATTGCTGTTGTTTACGAAAATGGGAGGACGAAAAGCGAATGTCCGGAGATTTAACTGGGTTGGTGGACACGTAGGGACCACCTAGGGGAGTTGGAAAACCCTGATTTCAAACTAATGGCGCACATAAATTCCAGGATCTTGAAGGAACAAATGGAGTATGAACCAACTGTTGGTCACTGGCTACCATGGGACTGCATCTCCTGACGTTGCTCCACTATCATATGGATCAAATATTTAGGTCGAAGGCTTCAGGTATGGTCCCCTAAGAAACCATCTGTTTCGGTCTGGGCACCCGGGCAGTATAATAGCTCACACACAAATCAAGTGACTTGTGTGACGTATACGTATTCGGTGCCCCTTTATATCAATATTTATGTGTTCAAATAAGTAAATAAATAAATAATACTTTTTAGTATTTCAGTGGAAAGTCATAAAAAACTGAAATAATAAATAGTAAGTTTAATTAAATCTTACTAACGATAACAATATATATTTATAAGTGAATTGGTTTGTTGTACCTACTGAGTAAAAGTGCTTTCTAGATTTAAGTATTAATTACCATAAAAAAAGTAGTGGAATTTAACTCTTAATAATAAGTGGAGTCACCTACACAAAAAACATTAACGTTTAAAGTTTCACATTATTGAATGATATCAGTTGGACAATCATCAAAAACCAGGAAGGACTAGACTGATTTTTTCGTATTAGCAGTCTTCATCAGTGCACATCCATGACTATACCAGGGATTAAACCCATAATCTTGATGTTTAGATCTAATCAAAACGAATATTAATTTAAATCTAATTGATTTTATCTCATGAATCATAGTGATTAGAAAGTTTACTTTGTTATCTGTTAAGTACGCATTATAACACGGGAACATGATGCTTCGCTCACTTAAGAACTCAACTATTGATGCAAATACTAAGGGATAAAGAACCAGATGATATTTAATAGTAATTTTCTAAATATATAATCAACATAAAACATATCTAAGTTATAAGATGCTAATGTAATAAAATGTCATCTAAAGGTACACAACTCAGTATCTAGTGTAATATCATGAATAGTATATCCTGGCTAATATTTTGTATCATCCCAACAACTACCGATCAAGTATTACAGTGAGCGACACTACTACTGAACTATCCTTGTCGCGACTGAAATCCTCTAAGACTGTAATACTTATACAGACTCAAATCCTACAAGGAACATCGGGAACAATATACATTACATCTAAGCTCAGGGCTTCCTGTGGAATGACAATTTATTGATTTAAGTACATAATTCGCAAACTGTGGTTCGCAATTTCAGACTATACTCAACCTATTTTGGTTTATATTGTTGCATGGTATTATTAAAAGTTACGATAATAATGTGGTTCAAATTCGATTACATAAAATTGTACTTATTAGATCAATGGCTTCCTATGGTATTGATTTCAAATATCCAATACATTTATACTTTTATTGTTCTAGAAAAACAATAACATTTTACTAAACTAATAAAAACTGATATTTAGTAGATGAATATGAACGTTAATTAACGTCTATGATGAATCTAAAGGAAAACATATACAAATTTACAATTGACTGATCACTGGGTGGTGATCAATTTCATGTATGTCAGGTCCTTCTTAGTGTATATCGAATGATATTGATCAAGTTGCAATATGGCCATTAGTCTAGGTGACTCGACATTGCGTGTACTATGTTGAGATAATATGGTGGTTGGAGGTAGTCAACAAGAAACCCTGAAACTGAACTAAGAAGCAACTGATATATATGACATTGATCACCACCCAGTGATTAATCAATTGTGAATACATCTCAGTTCTACAGGAGGTCAATCGCTGCCCGGATAGCTCAGTACTAACGTCTCTGACTGTGAAACTGGGTGACACGGGATCGAATCCATCAGGGAGCATCAGTTCACTCAAGATTACAGGTACACCTTGTTAACGAATGCCAAATAGCACGAAACCCAGGTTCATGGTTTCCTGTGGACTATCTCCAACTACCATCTTATATCCAAATTTAAAGTCAATATAGTGGTTTGAAGTATGTTTAAAGTTGAATTCATGAGTTGATCTAAACTAGACCACCATTGAAAACCTAAAAGCACAAAACAGTCGTTTCATCCTAATATGGAACTCTTCATCAATACTAGTTAATAAGTTATTTAAATATAAGTCTTATTCCCAATCTTACGTAATACATCAGTAATATATACACAAATATTAACAATAATTAATAAACAACAATAATAAACATGATTATTATCAAATATAAAATGAAATAAATCACAAATATAAATATTATTATTATTATTATATTCAATTAATCTATTCATCAGTATTAAATAATAAACGATCATACATATTACAATACATTCTGATTATATTCTACTATATGAAGAATGTCACGCAATAAGAATCTTTTGAATAATAATAAATTAACTTTTTCAATGTTCTCTTTCTCATTCACTCATTCATTCATTCAATGTTTGTGCTTTACTTTGGATTAAAACAAACATAGAGAATTAATAGTTTTCTGTTAAATTAGTTTATATCATTAAATGTAGAAAAATTAACATAATCTTTATGCTTGATTGTTGATATATATATATATATATATATATATATATATATATATATATATATATATATATATATATATATATGTACAACAGGTTATAGATAATATGACAGAAGTTGCCAACACTACAGCTGAAGTGTTTGTATGTGTGCAGACATATATATATATATATATATATATATATATATATATATATATATCCAAGTGCATCCGGGTATGCACGCACTGAGGTAATAGCACCGTGTTAAGAAATCTCTGATCTCATGGCGTGACATTAAATTACAGGAGAGAGAGAATAAATTAATCGGAAATGGTAAATGGCTAATCTAAAAAAAGTTAAACACAACAACAACAATAACGGAATGTTTATTAAGAATGAATTTTATTTTATTTTTTTTTTTTTGGTTTCTGAAAAGGGATATTGAATTTTCAAGTGGAATGACAATCACGTGTAATCAGAGAATTTCATTCTATAAAAAGGATATTGACATAAGTAGATTAGGATAGTATATCAAATTAATGAATATTGATGAGATTTTTTTTTCTTTTATTTGTCTATAAAAGTATAAATAAATAGAGAGAAGAGAAAAGGATTAGTAAGGATAATATTCATTCGAATAATAATAAACTTATAGTGATATACAATATTAGAAAAATTGTACTGATATATTGATTCATATACATTTATAGTCTATGTGAGATTATTATTATTATTATTATTCTGTGAAATATTTAGTTAGTCAATATATCGTATCAGCTTCAAATAATTTGTGTACCTTTGTGATGAGAAAGATTTACCGGATAACGAAAAAAAAAGCGAAAAAAATTAGATTACGGAAATATTCTAAATAAACATTATTCAGATTAAATTACCAAGAGAAGAATTCGATCAATTTATAAGTCTATATATAGAATGAGAAAGAGAAATAAACAAAATAATGAAAAATAAAATTTTATTCATGAATGGATATTAACTAGCAGTGATATTATAGTTCAAGTGTTTGGTCATTAGATTAAACGTTCATGTCCCATTTTACCAATTTTGGTTTTGGTGATTGGATAACATCACTAGTTCTCATATTTGGAGTGTGACTCAGTTTCAAGTATTTGTAGCTGGTTGATAAGTTAATGATAGTAATCAGAAAACATCAGTGAAAACTGAGGATCATTGTACTACTGTTTAGTTCCAGTTAAATATTCCTCATTGATATACATCCATGGGATCAGACTATAAAGCGTCAGGTATTTCGATGTTTATAAGTAACTATCTTCAATATAGATCTCAAGGGTTTTAGTTAGAAATCGGAATCAATCTAGATCAATCACTTTTGACATCAAAAAAATAGTTCAGCTGCACCTTGCATTAACTCAACTGGGAATGATTACTGGACTTTGACTCAGAGAATGATTTATACTATGCCAGCCTATAGACATGATGGTCCTGGGTTCGCAACCCATACAGAACAATATATGCAAACTGTCAATAAGTCCTAAACTAGGACAAAACAGATGTCCATTATCCTCCTATCTTCAACATTTGTTTAACTGAAGTTAAACTGTGATGTAAACACGTTCTAAATTTTGAGGGTGCTTTGTTCTCTGAGTTGAGTAGTTTAATTGTGAAGCATTCAGTGTCTATTTCAACAACACACTTCAATAACCAATGATTCATTACAATTACTCTACAATTGACTAGCTGTTTGTTTGTTGATCTAAAATTTGGTTGGTTGTTGTACGTAGGTGTCCCCAAAAGGAACTACTTAATGAAATTATCTGTACTCTTTTGGATAATCAACCAAGTTAAATATAAAATATTAAAAATGTGATTGCTTTTGGAGATGGTTACATTTTACGGCCATCTAAATTAGACAACCACTGAAAAACAAGGAAGCCCTAGACAGTTGTATTGCTCCAAAACGGAACTCTCCAGGGGTACCTATATGCGACTTCAATAGGAGTTGAACCTAGGACATCCAGGTCTAAAGGTGGGTGTTTAACCCTTGGCCAGTGAGTCGGCATCCAATGGTTTACATCCGTAGCTTAGATCAACTAGTAATATTGCGCGGTGGGTAATGGTCTCACTCTTAATATAGTTGAACTTCATTAATTACAGCTTCTAAAAACTGCAGGAATTACCTCTTGAAATCAGTCGTTAGTGAGCACGTTTATTATTACTGTAAAGTATTTGTGGAGATCGTTGCATTATATAATTTACATTAAGAGCTGATCTTAGTTAGACATTGGAAACCAGGATGTACTAGGGATATTTCGCTAAAGTATAAAACTGACTTTGCAGTAGTACGTAACAAATATAGTTATGTGAACCCTATTTAAATTACACGAATCCCTATCAATCATCCACGTGAAATCCCCCATGTAACAGCCAATTCTAAAGGTTCAACAAAGCTATATCAAAACGAATAATGAGCAATTTTCCTTTTATAATCAGAGAAAATTCACCATCATCTGGTGTTAGATTAATATAGAATTCAAATCGTAATGAGTCCCAACTAAGTTTGCATGAATGGCAACAGATTTCATATATACTCAAAAAACTATATCACTCAACCTCTGAACATGATAATCGCGAGGACCCCAACTAAATAGACTGGACCTATTAACAAAGTTCAATCCAACAGTTAATGACTTCATAGACTCCCGTCATGAGCACCGAGATAGCAGGCGGTTGCTTATCGGTGTACATATCTCAAACATTTCGATTTACCATCTCTACCTAGCATCCTAAGTCTAACCTCAACAGCCCCAAAATACATGAGAAATAAACCGAAAGTATCTACGTCCAAGTACTAGCAACCTACGAATTATCGCTGAGACTATAATTTACGGACATTTGAGAGAAACTGAAGTGACCTTGACAGTGTCCACCTAATAACTAGGACCAAATAAGGGTTATTAATCAATGTAGGGAATTGGAATTATGGTTCACGAACTAACATCAGCCTAAATGCCAAGACTCTAGGTAGCCAACTGGATGCATGAATTTAGTGCCTAAATCAGGGACCTATTATCTTATACCTGATTAGTTCGTTCATAAATTAGTCTCGCCGAATTATCTTTAATAACCAGTAATAATCATTGTAAGATCTGATAAAAAATATGAGTTGGAAAATGCTAAAACACTTAATTTACAATATTATTTTTAATAATTGGATTCATGAGTCATTTGAAGCTAGACCATCATGAGGAACCTGGACGGCCGTTTCATCTTAGAATGAGACTCCTCAGCAGTACGCATCCACAGTCACCCCTACAAGATTCGAACCCAGGATCCACCAGTTTCGCACGCAAACGCTTAACCACTGAGCCGGTATCGAATGATGTTATTCTCTAACTTCAACTAATCCATGAATATTATTTTTATTAAGAAAACATAACTTAATGGTAAAAGTATTCAGTTTTTAACCAATAAATTACAGATTTGATCTTAATTCAGCTTGAACAATTAAGAAGTATAATTAAATTTCATATAAACAATTTGATTGAAAGCTGAATAAATAAGATTTACTTATTTGAACACATGAATATTGGTACAAGAGGGCACCAAATAGATATGCGCCACACAGAACTCATTGGATATGTGTGAGGGCTGTGATACTGCCCGGATGCCCAGACCGAAACAGCTGGTTTTCTTAGGGGGCTACACCCCGAGCCTTTGACCTAAAGGTCTAACCCACAAGGCAGTGGAGCATCGTGAGGAGATGCAGTCCCATGGTAGCCGGTGACCAACGATTGGTTCATACGCCATTTGTTCCTTCAGGATACTGGAGCCCATGTACACCATTGGTTTGGGATTCGGTTAAAGCGCCGGACATTCGCTTTTCGTCCTCTCATTTTCGTAGACAACACACCCGCCACGAGAAGACAGTGAGTAGGACTTCCCTGGCAGGGGCTATATACGCGTGGCCGTGTTAGAGCATTTCGAGAGGGGGGGGCCCACTCCACTCTCAGTCATACCAGGGCATTTGGGGGCGAATAAATAAAATATGTAATTGAAGGTTAATAAGTTGTATAATTTAAAATAATTAACAATTATCTGTTTCATTTTGTTTGTTTAAGTTTAACTAATTTAAGAAATTATGACTACTCATACTCATAAATATATCTACTTAACTCCAACTATAATGAAAAACCCGAGTAATAAAACCCAACGATGCATAGAAAATACAAAGATAAAATGATGATATATCAGTTGGACAAGAAAAAGGATTTGTATTTCTTTCATAATGAATATACATAAATATCATAAATGGTTTGTTGATACGCTTATAGTTTTTATATTCTTCTCGTAATAATATAACATATAATAAACGGTGTTGATTATATATATATATGGACTATTTTATACAGTGATGTAAGAAATGTAACGATGATAATAATATTGAAATCATAGTCAGATTATACAACTGTTTCGTTTTTTTATTACAAAGGAACAAGTGTATACAAAAGATCATAGTTTCTATCTGAATTATTATTATTGAGAATAACTGATTGATTTGACGGTTTCCAATCCGATTCGAGTGGCATCAATATTGAAACTGTAAACGTGGAAACAAAAGTGCATAAAGAACAAATTAAACTATATTGTATTAATTATTATCAAGCAAGAAATGATTATGATGTCGTGCAAGTAATAAACCTAGTTCCTTATTTACTAGGTATTGAATCGGCAAAATGGTATAGAGGTTAAGTGTTTGTGTACCGAACACTGAAGGTCCCGGGTTCGAGTCTTGCATGTAGGGTCGTGGATGCACACTTCTAAAGAGTGATATATTAAGACAAAACGGACGTCCAGTTCTTCCAGGTTTTCAATAATAGTCTAACTTAGATCGACTGATGAATTCAACTGTTTATTAGTTATTATCAGACTAGAAATGATTATGATCTCGCGTTTGTAATAAATTTATTTCCTTATTTACTAGGTATTCAATCTTCGTTGTCTCAGAGGAATCATTGACATCCAATGACAACACTATATGTAGTAGCGAGGAGTTTCAGTAATACATGTTCGGGAAAAACGATGATAGTTAAATTGATATAATCATCTTGAAAAGCTGACTTCAATGGCTTAGACATGTGCTACGAACTTCATTCTAGAAAAAGGTCAGTTTATGACACGATGCCATGGTATGAAACAAAGCTAAACACGAATGGCATCTGTCTGTCATTCGTGACTCCTTGGTTGGAGTCCTAGATATAGTGCAACTCAGTTGCTTGAGACTTTATAGGATATGATTGGAAAAAGTTTTTCATAATGCTAAACATAAACTAGTGTTTATTAACATGATCTACAGTTTTTTTACTGTAAGCAAACAATCTAAGATTAAAAAAAACAGTTGAACATGTAAAGTTATCAAACACACAGATTAAATGTGAAGTAAATCTTTTATGATTAAACAAACGTAATTTCAAATGAACTTATTAAAAAAACTGGGAAAATTACGAAGAAATGTGGAAATAAATTTTTCATGTGTGAACAAAAAAAAACAAAATTCTATATCAGATGAACTGTTATATCGGGAAATAACTTTCAAAGTGATATTTTTAAATACACAAAGAAACAATATGATTTTTTTAGCAGAACTAAATTGTTTAGGGTGAGGTTCAGACTTTTGATCTAGTAGTTAGAGTTATTTCTGCAAGAAGTTTGTGGTGATTGTCGAGTATCATAGATTGCGTGGCAGATAGATTTTAATTATATAACTATTAAAAACCAAGAAGTACTGGACATCTGTTTCATCTTATTCGAGAATTCTTTACCAGTGTATATTTAAGACCGTAAAAGGGAATTGAATGCAAGACCTTAGTATTCTGCAGAAAGCATCTAAACTAATTGTTTTCATTTATAATTTTAATCGACTCGCGATATCGGCAACTATCTTACATTAACACTGATGGATATCTAACAAAACTAAATTCCACCAGTCATAGCTTCTCATAAGAATTCCAGCAATTCCCTCTCGAAATAAGTCACTAGTGAGCTCACTAATTACATAACAAAAATTTCAATATGAACACCTGTGAAACTACATAAAAGACTTAACACCCATAAAATATTCAATGCCAACAAAGCGTGGAAAATTTATTATCAAAACATATGAACAACTAATTGTCATACATTATCAGTTAGTTAGTGAGATTTTAACATCATTCTTTATTATAAACCTTCTGAAATTACCTAAACACATCTTATAATTGTACAAAAACAAATTAAATTAGAATGGAATTCACCAACAACATAAAGTAATTGAGAACATCTTTTTAGAAAAGGAAAGAATAACACACAGCAAAAAGGGAAATTCCAAATCAGCAAAAAACAAGAGACAGAGAGTTCATCTTACAGTAAGAAAAAATCTTAATCCGTATTTCAATATTTATTGGAATAAAACAAGTAAACCTAAATGAGAAAAGAAGACAGACAAAGAGTCTCCAAAACAAGGGGTCAAAATGAATTAATATAAGCAGAATTGATGTAACAATTGGTTGAGCATAAAGAGCAAAGTAAGACCACATCATCACTATTCTTATCGAAAAAAAGAAAAGGAAATACACAAAATACGCTAAGATTATTTTATATATAGGTAGAGTAGAGAAAACAACAAATTCACTAATATACACAGTTCGAAACCTGTAAAAACAAAAAAAGAAAATAATTGCCGTATAGAGAGATCAGAACAACAACAAAATGATACATACAGTACTAATAACACCCCCCTCTTTACCAGATAAGTAACATAATCTCTCTCTCTCTCTCTCTCTCTCTCTCTATATATATATATATATATATATATATATATATATATATATATGTATATATATATGAGAAAACAAAACAGATGTTAAATAGATTATCCATAAAATAAAAGGTTAACATTAGTGCCGGAATGGCAAAATTAACAATTTTATTGCTAATAAATAATAAATAACAATAGGAGGAATGCCTTCAAGTGCATAAACAAGATTAAAACTGAGAATGGTAAGTTAAAAACGTTTCACTGTTTTTTGGGAGGTATTTACAACTATTAAGCAAAGAAAGGTTGACCTATTATGGGACTCCTCAATAGTGCCCTTATGTAAACTCACTAGGGTCCAAAAAGTACGTGCTTGTTGTGAGACCCAAAGGTTTGCAATTCGATCTTTGATGAGGCTTCGGAACTACAGACTGTAGAAGTTTCATCATGCTAGAACGAAACAGCTTCCTTGTTTTCAATGGTTGTGTAACTAAGATTAGTTTATGATGTATACTATGAAAATAAAATACTTCATACATACACATAATCGACCGGTAGAACGCAACGTAGAACCCGGTACATGTGTACATAGGTTTATGTTGCCATAGTTTATTAACACAAAGGGATGAAACTGTCAAATCTTGCTTCTCAAGAAGACTGGCTCAGTGATTATAAAGTACTGAAGATCCAACCAATAAGTCAACAGTTAGAACCTTGTGTCAGTCACTTCAATCTACGATAAATGAATAGTATCGTCAGCGTGTCTAAAGAAACAGTACAGCTGGAATCAAAAGTATGTACTTAGTAGACAAATTACCTTACATAATGAGTGACAGGTAGTTCGCTAAACTTTTGAAAGTATTATATATATAGACAGTTTATATTGTCCATACAAGGAAGACTTTCGAAAGACTATTGATAAGTCACCTTCAATAAACTTCATAAAAAAGTCAATCAATCAATAGAATTAGTTTAAACAAACCAGAAGCAAAGCTATAAAAATGTGTTACATGAGTTATGTAAGTGTATAACAGTTAGTCGGTTTTCGTTGTTATTTGTTGACAAGAAAATGTTAGCGCAGTGGCAATCTAGAATATAGAAGCTGCTTGTAGAATAGAAAAGTTATCGAAGTGGCAACTGCATACAGTACGATTAGACTGATCAATTGCAGTCCTAAATATCAATGGGAACATTAAAACAACCAATACAAAAATCAACTGAACTTCACCCCATTGAGTAAGTCAGTGGCTATCTGGACTCAGTAAGTGGATAACGCGATATCGTTTGAAGCGAACGGTAGTGGGTTAGAATTCCTGGGCAGACATCAACTACGATGCAGACACAACCAGTTGAGGAGTACCAAATAGAACGTAACGCGAACCCTGAACTTCGCTACTAGCCACCATCCATCTCTGCATATAGTACGATCAGACCGTTCATAAAACTTGTAGATAAGTACTACAGGAAAAATATGGATGAAATACAAACACTCCATCTCGCACAAATACACACACACATAAACGAACACAAAAAATCATTAAGTACGTGAAAAAGCATATGTGAACTAAAAAAGCTTTTTTACGGTTATGTATGTCTATACAAGTGCATACACGCGAAAATAAAGTAGAATGAGGGCGGATTAAAAAAGTGAGTTTATAAGTAGACGAAAAAAGACAAACAAAGAAAATTAAAAAATAAATAATTAGATTTAACAGACATTAGGAAACGCCGTAGGGTAGATGTGAAACAGAAAAAAGAACCAACTGGAAAGCCATTCACTAGTTTGGTTAGTGACCTAGAACAGATGGATGGATGACACTTTCTTTTAGATAGACAGAAAGTGTTTCATTTCACCCTACACATCTTACCAAAATACATATTTTCTGAAGCAATTAAAAAACAACCACATAGAACCTGGGATGGTACAAGTAACCACGCGGAAAAAAGGATAAATGCAAAGAGAATACACACACAAAAAGTTCATCATCCTTTGAAAAATTAATAAGAAGCAAAGTAACAATAACAACAACAATAATAATAGATAATCATACCAACTAATAATAAATGAGGAAACTCCCCCTTTTATTATTGCCTAATATACACACATACATTTATGTATCGCATGATAATTTACAAAATAAGGAGAAAGTCGAAATGACTCTTCTTCAACCTATCCCATCATCACATATACGTATGTGAACACGTGAACATACACACACATAAACATTATAAAATTAACAGCTGTGGAGCATATATTGTGTTATGATGTCATGAGAGTAACATTTCTATAGTTGATCAACAAAATGATGAAGAAAATTGAGAATTTTGATGCATCTTTTCCTTACTCAACTAAATACACATTAAGAAGAGCATCACAACTGATATATTAAACATATGCTGGCATGCATTTTTAACCACTTGATGTAACTCACAGTTTACAACACGGATTAATCTTAGCTAAACCACGCTGAAAACCAGGAAGCGCTGAACTTCTGTACTGTTATATTATAAGACTCCTCACAAGTGAACATCAACGACTCAAACAAGAAGAAAACCCAAGATATACGAAATTCACAGAAAGCCAACGACCTGTAGATCATCGAGCTGACATTCAATAGCTTACATGTCTAGCTTCAAAGTAATTCATTTACCAAGTGTTGAATTACGCACTCAGTTCTGGGTCTATTAACGACTTTAGATACTGTATTCAAACATGCGACCTACTAATAGTGGTAGATAAGGTGACAGCTTTACCAATCGCCTACATAAACTAACAATTCATTTGAGGAAGAATCAATTTCAATAGAAAATTATGTGTCAAATTTTATTTCCACAACACTAATCATTACGAGAGGAAAACATAGTGACGTAGTGCGTATAGAACAGATGAAATAATCTACACAACCGCACAATTTGAGAAAAAGCAGAGAAAACTCCAGAAAATAGTTGAATAGTAAGGAAATATTTACAGTGAGTGAATTTATATAATGGTGATCTTCAATTTTCTTATGACATGCACATATAACCAATAATTCTTACATGCTTATAAAAATCGCCTAAATCCAAGAAAGCTATAAGGAAAAGCCTACTATACACAAAAACATAAACAAATATACATGTTAAAAAAGCAATTTCACCTACAAAGGGAATCTAAAAACAGTAAATTAAAGATGGTGAAAACCTGTTGTGGGAATAGTTATCCACGATATGTAACTTTTGTTTACACACAAACGCTATATTTTCGCAAGAAAACTTCGATAGAAAAAAAGTAACTTAGTACTTCACAACTAACAACTGATATGATATAACATGTTTCGATTTACTCAGATTTATTGTATCTTAAATAAAAAAATACTTAGTAATCATATACACATATAAAAGCCTGAAACCCTTTTAAGATTACTGCCGGTCAAAAGTGCAGATAAAGTAGAAAGGTTGAGCACAGGGTCAGCTAACACCTTTAGTAAAAAAGTACCTTTCTGAAAAAAGGTTAAATAGAATAAAATGTACACATTCTGTACGACAGTTCACGTAATCAAGCCATTTTTAGACATTTTCAAGGATTTTAAATTACATAGTTTAAATAAATCAATAAATTTTACCAACATATACCCTCCAATATGTTCACAGTGAATTAGTGTTAAATCAGAATATTTAGTGAAGTATATACTACTATGTAGAGAAAACTATCAGTAGGGATGAAGTTTAGTAGTTTATGGAATTATTAAAAATAATTTTCTGAGTATTATTCAGTATAATCTGGAGAACCATTGAGTATTTAAACGGCATTTAAACGTCCTCCAAGGTTTGGCAGCGATTACGGACGAATTGAGAATAAACGATCTCAATATTTGACGTCAATTAATTTGTTATCAATAGCATGACTATCATAGAATTCTATAGATGATAACTGTTTCACTGTCGACATGAATAATTTAAAAGGTTATGAATTCTTATTGGAACTCCAATAATTCACGTTGAAGCTAGTTAGCCGTGACAACAACTATGTAGAATATAGTTAGGTAGTCAGTAAAAAATACGAAAAACTAAATAGCCATTTCATCCTAATGCAAGAGTCTACAAGAGTGTGCGTCCATGATGCCATTAGGGATTGAACCCAGGATCAAGCAAAGCAGCAATCGTTTTATGCAGACCCTTGTATTAGTATCAATGGTTTGTCTTTATGACTTCAGTTTATTCGCGATATCATGCGACTATTGTCCATTTTTATTGATGACATTTGTCTTACGCCCAAAGTGATTGAACTTTACTGATCACGACTTCCCAACAGAACTCCGAAAATGACTTCTTAAATTTAACCGCTAGTAAGCACATAAGATAGTAGATGCATAATGCTGTAGAATTTCACAATAGGACGGAAGAGCTGCCAAGTTTTTAATGGTTGTTCTAACCAAAGTTACAATATATATTCATGTCTAAACATTCAACTTATATTTTTGAAATAGTGCGATGACCGTCCATTGCCATTAGTGACAACCATTTCACTCCTGACATGCTTAACATTCCACTAGTGACGACTATTTTATTAGAACTTCGAGAACACCTTGAAGTAACTCACTGATGAGCTGACTATTATCGCTCACCTGAAGGGGTTTAGTAGATAATGAATTTATTTCGTTACAGATAGATACTACAACGAAAGACTTGTCCAGTACACCTTGGTTTGCAGTGGGAATACCCTCCAAATTAAATTGATCTGTGACAAATGAAGCTTACAAGTTAAAAATCAATCTCAATGATACCCCTTCAACTATATATATATATATATATATATATATATATATAAAGAGAGAGAGAGAAAAGGGTAGAGATAGTAGTGATAAGCATAATCGTAATAGAACTAGATGGACAAATGAAAGTATAGAGAAAAAGACAAACAAATAACTGACCATTGAATTAACTGGTTGACAAGAAATTGAGAAAACGAATGCACCAACACAAAATAACCACCACTAAATGACCACTATATATACTTAAGACAAAAATAGGCTGGTGGTCAGAGAAAAATTACTTTTTCATCATTTCAGTTAGAAAGATTAATGGAAGATAACAAGTCAAGTAAAACACAACGAAGGTATATATATATATATATATATATATATATATATATATATATATATATATATATATATATATATATATATATATATATATATATATATATATAGACGCGCTTGACCAATAATTATAATTGTATATCGCGATTTGTCAGATATATATATAATACAGGAGTGTTCTTTTCAAAACTGAAATTAGACTACCTACTTTAAACATATTCAGGAGCTTCGAACATGTATGGGGGAGTGTTTGAAAATGGAAGTAACCAATAAATTTGTTACATAGAATAGGTAAAATGTGGCTAACGGTGAAGTCCAAGTTAATGACATCACTTTTAACATCAAGTCTGATTGTTCAAACTTTAATTTAAATTGGGTCACAGATATGTATTATTGAAGAGGCTAAAACTAGGGCGGACGAACGAATTTCCCAACTTTCAATGATTCACTAAATGATGTTATAGCTAATGATGAAAAGAATCTCTCCATCGAAATAAATAAATCTATACAAATAATTTTACCCGTCAAATACCTCCAATCACGTAACATCAAAAAATATTGCATGCGGTGCCGTGACTACATCAAAATTTGTTGATCATAGAACTCAATCAGCACTAAGGGATTAAAGTTGATTAATCAAATTCAAATATCTTACAATAGGTCAGTTGCTGTCCGAATAGTTTAGTAGTAATGTTTCAAACTGCAGAGTTAGGTAAGCCAGGTTCAAATTCTACAGGGAGAATTATTTTTCCCAAGAGTGTAAATGTCCCTAGTTATTTCTTACCAGCTAGTTTCAAGCATCGTCTTCCTATACCGTCATCAATAATTAAGCAATTATTCTAATTTTGAAAAAAGTAAAATACAATGACTAAACATCTACTCACTGTTTACATTGGTTTTATAGCTAATTCAATTAATTTCATTTATTCTGAAGTATTTAAAGATCATGATTATAGATGATGTCAACACAATCTACACGTGGATGAAATAGTACTATTGATATAACAAAAGTCCATTATAAAGTAGATATAATATTAGGTAATCTATATTTAAACGTTGATATAATGGGACGATTAGTGTGAAAGTATAACTTTACAGACTTATATGAAGAGGCATCATATATTTACATTCGCTTATTTCCAAGCTTTTGATAGACTAATAAATCGTTGTCATATGTCTTATTATTCCAGGTTTGTTATTCATAAATTAATCCCCCTATTACTTTAGTTTTGTATCACTTATGATCAAGTTACGTACACACTGTAATTCCTTAGCTGTATTGTATGTGTTCAGATGTTTAAAGTATATTACTACATGATTTTTAAATCACGACTAAACTGCGTACAACAGAGAACTAGTTTACATTCTATTTTAGTCTTTTCATTGACCAATGGGATACGAAGAGCTAGAGGACGATTAAGTTTTGAGATCTTGGTCGTAGCTCATTAGACGGTATTTCATTCATTCCAGATCACCGAAAATACAGACAACATAGGCGAACTGATAACTAGTCAAACTAGAGAAAAAGAGGTCCTAAAATTCCTTTCGTGTCATTACACCAAGATGAAACGTGATCCAACGAAGCCCAAGTGGTTGTCTTTTTGTTAACCAACATAACAAACGAAACATTCATAAACCACAATCTGAAAAGAATATTAAACAGACAATGCATATTAAATAGCTGTAAACCAATATTCACATTCTAGCTACTAACCAATGATTGATATTATCTTTTCGTTAATTCACCACGCAATGAGGTATGAGGCCGCATGGAACTGTAACTTCTTTGTTCTTCCCTGGAGCCAATAAGTCGAGATGATGATGAAGCACTTCCACGATCTCTTGAAGTAGAATAAGAATTTTGAATAGGACTACCGAGTAATGAATTACTAGATCTGGGAATCCGATTGATGGGAACACGCGTGTCTCTGGGAAAATTACCTGATGAAAAAGTGTAGTAACGGAAAAAAGACAGTAGTTTCACTTATCCAAAAAACGTACATGTTACAAAAAAATCCTACGATAAATTTAGAATAACCTATTTTCATCAAAAATGCTAAAAATTGCCTGATGATTCCCCCAACCGACACCTAAAACAAGAATGTAACATATTAATTCAAAGCAGAAATCTTTGACAGTTAAGCTTCGAGACAAACGGTAAGATATGAGAAGCTTTACTTTTAAGGATAGGCTAGGTGCAAAAACCAAGGATATTCATAGGTTTATGAGTGACGTTGATGTTCTTCTAGGGGCTTCTGGGAATACGCTAAAATCAATGACCAGATAGGTAATTATTCAAACAAGATATGACGCACAATTCATCAGTTTTGTAGAATTTCCTAAAAAGTTTCTAATAAATGGTAACTTGAAGTACTTTCAATCCTTTTTCAGACGCCGAAGAATTCTTTCGAGGATCTCTCAAATGGTCTCAACAGTTTTCAACAAGTAATGACATTAGTGTTGTCATCACTGAACAACAAATGACTGGTTGTTTGATTATTTTTGGATTATAGATTCGAACAAACCAAAGATCCGCACTCGTAACTGGTAATATGAAGCCAAACACGAAATTTTCAGATGTCATCGCAATAAGTATTAACTAGAATATTATACCACTGGTAGTATTTGAATTACTTCTAACTTAGTCGAACTTGGTCAACGACTAATTGAACTGATGTCAATCAGTCGATGATGAAAACTGATTTCCAAATGAACAATCGATAAATTTTTTGACCTAATACTACTATCAATTTACTACTGGTTTACTAATTGTAGCAAAGATATAGTTAAAATTTTAGTTCTCTGCACAGTAACTTAATAATACATCAATCAATGCCAGGAATACAATTCGTTGTTATCTCAATGAAGTTTGGCCTACGTGATCCGTACAAATACACTAAAATATATACGGTGGTAAGTATTAAACATTTCTACATGAGTGGAGAATACAACTAATATTCATTGTTTATACATATCAGCCAGTCAGTCAGTCAGTGACAACGTAGAACTTCGCACGTACGTACATCAGTTCGAATTGCCATATTACATTAGCACCGAGATACAATTGTCGATTAGAATCCCATAATGGTAGAGGTAGTAAGAGTATAAGCAGTAATCGGAAAAATTAGGATTTGAAGATGTTATTCAAGGAGTGGAATCCAGTGAAATAAATTTGGAAAAAGAAAAAAAGGGACATGAAAAATTCAGAAGATGAGAATTTGGGAGAACACAGAGAGTGGATGAACCTGCGCCATTGCAAACGATTTTGAGCCATGTCATTCAAGGTCTTTAACCATCGGTTGTTATCATCTCGCGGTCCCCAACCAGGTAGTCTACACCTACCAACATGGCTCAGTCCGCTTGTCAATGACTTCATGGATTTGTGCCATGTTTTGGTCTGGCCGCCCCTAGCTTTCTTCCAACCTACTCCTACACCATAAAACATATCACGTCGGGGCAGTCGGTGGTCAGGCATGTGCAACACATGTCCCAGCCATTTCAACTGATGAAGTTTCACTATTTCATCAATTGATTTGCCATCCTTACCTAGTACCCGTTTCCTAACAACTGCATTACTTACTCGATGGTACCACGATATACGAGCAATGTTTCGAAGACATATATGATCGAATATTAGTAACCTACAAATATCCTCTAATTTTACAGACCATGATTAACTGCCATAAAGTAGGACGGAACGAACTGCTGCGCAGTAAACACGTCCTTTGGTTGGTAGACGAATATTTCGCCTACACCATAAATGATGCAAGTTAGCAAAATCTAACCGAGCCCTCTGTATCCGTGCTGAGATTTCGTCACACGCCAGACCACAAGGGCTGATGAGACTCCCGAGATAAGTGAAGCGGTCGACATGCTCAACTACTTCACTCCCTATCATTAGTTCAGGTGTCGATGTAACCCAATCCTGAAGCAACATTTTGCATTTCGAAGGGGAGAATCGCATCCCAAACATCTTTGCTTACGGTGATCAGAAGACTCTGTATTTTGTCAGAGTCTTCACCAAACAGAACTATGTCATCGGCATATCCTAAATCAACAAGTGAATCTACCGGCAAAAGTTCAACTCCTGGAAATTTAGATGAGGAATGTGTTATCTCCAAAAGTACGTCAACGACAAAGTTAAATAAGAACGGAGAGATGTTTATACATATAGATAAATTGATATTACATGCAAGTTTCAGTCTATATGTACTAGGATAGTTTAAATATGAGTCATTTTCGCATTATCCTTTCCCTACAAACAGAATCGTTAGAAATAATCTAATTAAATTTATGTACATATAACTAACAAATAACTCTGTCGATCAGTTGTTAAATTAATCAAGAATTATGAGTTATAGACATGAATAATTGACTTTCACAACAATAAAAGTTATTTCATATTTATAGTACTAGTATGATTGATGATCAAAATTATTTGTTATCTTGCTAATATGGTATTCTAGGGAAATTATCAAAGTAGAAAACAATTATGAGGCAATTACAATTGGATATTTCTTTTTGCATTGATAGAAAAAAGAATCAAGATTGACATATCTTCTTTTTTCTTGAATGAACTCGACGACGGAGGAAAAAAAAACATAATTAGTTATTTTTATGTTGATACAAATTTATTGTGCATTTGATAAGTATATACCACTGTCTAATAAATGGCTAAGTTTCCTTGTATATTATCCAATGAATTATTGAAAGACTTACATAGATTTGTATTAGATGGTGGAGACGGTAGTCTAGCATCTACAACACGACTTGGACTGCCTAAAAGTCCTCGTTCCGACTCCATTCGAGGTCGGCTGTATGATGAATGAAGAGGAGGAGGAGAATATTTTCGACTACCAGAAGAATACATTGATGATTGTCGACGAACCGGTGAAGCTTGAAATCGTCTAGATCTAGCACGGCTACTGTTGTGATAACTACTACCCGATGAGCTAGAGGAATGAGATGATGAGTCGGAAGAATTCCCAGGAACTGATCCCAACTCTATGGCCATAGCACGTCGTTCAGCACGTAAGCGTTTTTCTTCTTGACGCCTGAGAAGGCGAGCTTGTCGACGAAGTCCTTCTTCTCGAGCCTATAGAGAAATAATAACAATTCGCAAATATTTTCAAGAGTATACCATACTTATATTAAAGTGAACAGAATGTTAAAATATGATATCAATAGCCAAAATATTAAACTTAATCAGAAACTAAATTAATGGCTATAATAACATATTACTGCTTTGTATTTCAAGTGATCAAAAGTAATAAGCAGTGTGACCTAGAGTTACACCCGAACGAGAAATGAATGGTAACTGCCAGCAATTATTTACGGACTATTATGACATATATTCCTACTAGATAAGTATTAAGTAACTAGATTATATGTATATTCAGATTTCTTTTACCATAAGGTTTCATTTGACCTAATGACTATTATTATACGATTTACCATTTATAAGTTATTCTCAATTTATTAGTTACAGACTCTCACGCTCATAGCCACTTTTGGCTTGATTTTGTATAATTGTTAATTTTTAATTTTGGTGCAGTCTGATCCGCTTGCATATAAACCACTTACACCTGCAACATACGATTCATACAGCGGAGGCTGATATTTGTGTTCTGGACTCAACGGGTTGGGTTAGTTTAGAAGTTATTGTTTTGCGGACATATAAATATTGGTACAAAGGGACACCGATTACTTATGCGCCACACAAGTCACTTGATTTGTGACCAATAAGGACTCATAGTTGACTCTAGGTTGATAGTGCTGATCAACACATACTTGGTTTAGTACAGAGACAAGGTTATATAGGTCAGTGTTCTGATTAGCAAACTGTAGATACTTGGAAAAAAACTTAACAGATAAAAATACGATTACACAATAACACTGACTTTAAAAAAAGGAAGCATTAACTGAAGAGATGCTGAATAATTTAACGTTAATGAACGATTCATATTTTGGTGATAATAGGATGAAAGAATACTGGAAAACCAGGAAAAATATACAAACAATGTAGTGAAAAAAAACTGCCAAACATGTAAACGAAACGATCACTTCGAATTTAAGATGAAAACATATCAACAGTGTTGTTTTTTTTAAGTATACTGTATTAGTGAAAAGCAGATTCAATAAATCCATATAATATTTTTTGATAGAAAGAATCTTATGATGGAAGCGTTGATGATGTGACAGTAGAAACTAGCCAGTCTATTTTTGATTTATAATTACAGAATAGTTAAACATGTGTTAATTTTGCACTGATTGGTCACTAAGTAGTGTGTATGTGATGGCCAATGTTATACTTGTATAGTATTTTTCAGTGTTGATCAAATTCTATCGATTAACAAAGTGTAATATGGTCATTACACTAGTTGAAGTGATGTTAAATGGTTGGAGGGAATTGTATTTAACCTATATTTCACTCTTGTTGATACTCATCAGAGTAAGATGTATCTACTGATTGATAAATTTGAAACTGAGACAACTCCAGTAAACTAACAAAAGTATTTGGTATCAAACATATGGTAAAGTGTCTTCATGTAAAAAATCTCATGTTGCTATGTTCTCCTTACTGAATTATTAATTAGAGCTATTAAAAAGAATATAAATAATTGAGTAAACATGTTTACACTATAATTGAGAAAAAGAAATAATAAAGAAACAAAAAAACAATTAGTGACTAATATAGAGAAAGACTAGGGTAATCATCATCATATAATAATAATAATATTGACTCAGCATATAAATTGTTAGAGAACAAATATGAAACGAATTAGCCTATACATGTGTGAGCGGAAAGAAAGCAATATTGGGCAACAAAAATACATATATTCTCTCAGGAAGGCGATAAAGGATCAAAGGTCAATAATCATAATAATATGCCTTGTAGTATAAAGTTGAGTGTGAATGACTAGTCTCAATTGTACAGGAAACATGTAAAGAAAACAAACCCACTACACGCACTTACATACAAACAAAAAAAGAAACCACTGGTTAACAACAAATTCTACTACTACTAATCCTATTACAAAAGACGGCAACAAACAACTCGAATAATTGATACACGCAAAACAAAGATAAGTGTTCATACAACAAGAGAAGAATAAAAGCGTGATACAAAAATATAACAATTTACGGAAGAATACTATATAAATACACACAAGCACAATACCAAACGAACGGAAACATAAGAGAGAAGAATGAGAAAATAAATACACAACCATAAAACAAAATAGTAACTAGAAGTAAATAATGTTTGAAAAGACAACAGATATACTACTACTGCTGATTTAACAATATAACAGTAAAGAAAATAATAATTACGAATAAAAACAAAAATACAAACAAAAAGGTCGAGAGAGAAATATTAAAAGTTAAAAAGAGATATTTAAATAGACGTATTAAAAGAAAGATTATTATTAATCATTTTCATTTTTATCGTTTAGATTACCTCGATGTCACACTAAACACAGTTTGGATGAAGAAATAAACTCATATTATAGTGTATGCTACTTATGTCGACAGATATAAGTAACACGTAACACCAATCGAAAGTGGAAAATCTGGCAGCAGAAGGTCGCAAAGACCGAATAGATGAGAACGGGAACAGAAATTAATCGGTATGGATTGAAGGAACAATAAAATCTGAGACAACTAATGGACATTTTACAAATGAAGAACTGAACGTATAGTTCTAACATTTTACCAAATAACTGTAATTTTGTGTTAAAATATATTTGGTCGTCCCCACCTGTGTTTTCGTTCATTACAATATAAAAACGAATATGTATTTTATTTACAGGTTTGGCCATCAAAAGTCATTACTATGACATTCTATACACAATAGCTCCCCATTGTCTAATCGTCCCGCATCTTGAACATCTAGTTCAATCGTCAGAACCCTATTCTTTGTTCAGTCGTTGAAATAGGTGATAACGAATATTGTATTTCGAGCATACGTAGTTTACATACATACGTTCTCGACCGTAGAATGAAAAATAGCAATAATACATGATCAAGCTAAAAGGTGGTTGTGAGTAGTGGAGACTGTACAACGATTTGGCAACAGATTAAGAATAGTAAATCATGCAACAGTAGTTAACGGGTTAATTGAAAGCTCATATAAAAGGTATATATATAATAGTCAACAAATTAATTCTGGAAATAATCATTCCTTTAGTCTTAGAATATAACAGTTATAATACTCAATTATGTTGGTTGCAAAATACGAGGTGTGTCTGAACGATTCTGCAGCATGTTATCGGTATGCAAGAACTTAGCAGATAATACCCACTGTCTTTCGCATATACATATGCGGTTTACAATGTCATATTTCACGGCGTATGCTCGAAATACAATATTCGTTATCACCTATTTCAACGACTGAACAAAGAATAGGGTTCTGACGATTGAACTAGATGTTCAAGATGCGGGACGATTAGACAATGGGGAGCTATTGTGTATGGAATATCGTAGTAATGACTTTTGATGGCCAAACCTGTAAATAAAATACATATTCATTTTTATATGCTCATATGATTTTATCTCTTCATCCAAACGGTGTTTAGTGATACTGTCTTTTTGTTTCAAGTTCGATGTTGACTATGAAAGAAACATGAAACGGCTCTCTTTTGAGACACTTTAGAAAATGACTGGTTAGTCTCACTTTTCTTGAGGCTGAAAATAGTTCACGAATAATGGAGAAATATATGTATAGTGATTTTTAATGAATAAATAGTAAATTATTTACATACTTATTTTAATTAAAGAGTGTTTAGTAAGGTAATAGTAGGTTAATAAGGTGTACAAGTGATGGAACCAACAATAATAGAAAAGAAACTAGATAAATGGCGCAAATAAGTCACGAAATGTCTACTGGGTTGATATAGGTTTAGCGTTGGTAAGAGTAGAAATAATATATTATTGGAGATATTATAAAAATCGGTAATAATAAAGTGTGGTTAGACGAAGATTTTCAAGACAATATTTCTTGTTGATTAACTCTAGTAAAATACAGAACAAACATTTTCTGACAAAGTGCACTCACATAACATTTATACGGTGTGCAATGGTAAATGAAACACTAATGGGATCGGGAATAAACGTATCCGTTCAATACGTATTTGTCAACGGAAAATATGGTTTTCACTAAAGTACTCTAACTTTGAACTATTAGATCAGCTCGTTTTGGAACGAATTCCGCAATGTTTACATTGTGATGAACACTGGTTAACTACATAGTAACGTATAATTAGTCTCTCTAATTCATGAACCTAATATTCTCGATGGTTAGCATTATTCACTTGGCATTTATCATAACATAATGATATATGGATGGTTGAATTGTGTTAAAGAAACTAAGATGTTCCATAGTGAACGTTCAGCACATAACATGATTTCGTGAAATATTGATACTGATGTAAAATTTAGTATTAAAAAAATTTGTGGTTGCACAGTTCAACCTTCATACTAAATTAATGTACTTTTTTTATTTCTGACAACCTAATGTCTACAACTACTGATCGGTATTATCATATGAATATGACAATATGGCTCATTCTCACATGCGATAACTTCATGAACTGATTTCATATCTCAGCTTGGTTACACCTAGCTTTGTTGCAAATTATTCATAACTCAGACAACATTGCATCGAAATGGAGGATGGTTGAGGATATATAACACTTTTCACATGAGAGCTATTCATACTTTTCTGCTATACGAAACCAAATTAGATGTAGTGAAGTTCAAACAAACAACCTATCATTTAAAAACAGATTACTTTAACTATCAAATCATTATTTAATGTGGATGGTAAATCTGTTTATAATAAGGGGAAAGTTATATATATGAAATCGATAGTGGAAAAAGCCTTTAAAAATGCAAGATTTCTTAGACAATTCGTGGTAGTAATTAGGAAACCCTAAACTTAGGTTTTGTGTTATTTGGAACCTATAAGCAAAACGTACATGTAACCTCAAGGGAACTAATGCTACGTGGTGAAACCATCCCTGGCCGCCCAGCTCCACAATCTTGGGCGTTACCACAATCAAAATACCTCAGTGGTAATGTCTCGAATATAGAGTTGGATAATCAGGGTTTGAGTTCACCAGGGAGCACTAATTCCTTAAAGATAACAGGTACTGTTTGTTGATGAGTACCAACTAGCACGAAACTTAGGTTAAGTAATGTTTTCTACCTACTACCTCCAACCACCATAGTTTACACGATGTCGAATCACTTAGGCTAGTGTAATGACCACATTATAATCTGTTGACCTATAGAAATTGATCAGTGCTAAGGGAGTAGACAAGCATAAAACTAGGGTCAGTCTTCTGAGTGATAAATTAGTTGTAAATGCAACATTTACCTGACGTTCTCGTTCCAATTGGATTTGTTTTTCTAACTCGGCTTTTTTGTCAGCATTGACTGAAATATTAAAATAAAATATGATAATAGTTTAGACATAACAATACTTAGTAGATTTAAAGTTAAAAATGTAAGGTAGTATGTAGTACATGGGATTGCAGCAAAACGTAAACAATCATTATGAAGTAAAAGTTTATGCACTTTGCTTAACACTAGTTAAACTCTCTAGAAATCATATGCAGTAAAACTGATGTAAGTGAATTGAAGTACCAAACAACGACGTTTTCTATGATATTCGACTATTTAAAACATTAGACACTACTGAAAGAAACCTAAATCAGTGTATGTATGGATATAAATTAATCTAAGTAACTGTATATAAGAGAATATCGGAATGGCGAAGCAAAAGATAGTTGGGAATTGAAGAAAAAAAGATAACAGTGAGTAAAATACGAAAAGACAATATATTAAAATATTCAGTAAAATAAAAAGGCGATGAACGACTCATTTCTTCTACTTTCATTGATAAATACACAGGATACAAATAGTAACATTATTATAATCATTAGTATAGACTATGTTTGACGCAGTAAAAAAGCAAAATCTTAGAAAACCGTTAAAAACTACTAAGAACTTGACAGCCATTTCATCTAAGTATGGGGAACTCGATAGTGAACTTTTACGAACCAACTAGGCATCGAACATGAATATCCTGAATTAGATCCCCAGTGAGGTCATGAGAGAACACAATTGAGTCCCACATACCAAGATGAAACAGCTATCAGTTACTTTCTGGCTTTAGATGGATGTATACTATGAAATTTAACAAACTCCACAAACTATCTGTAATATAAATACAAAGGATTTAAACCACACTTGATGTTCGACGCAACAGCACAAACGGATGTTGGGTTGGGAACTTTTAACCAAATGATTGTCACCATCAGACACTTAATATATAAACTGCAGATCTATTCATACACTACAAAAATATCTTCTGTCAAGTAAGTTTTATGCTTACACACTGATCTCAACAATCAGATTTTAGGTAGAGTAATCATCATAAGTTGTGTGTTATATCATAACAGGCAAATCGCATCAATGTACACACAAACGTAAACATGCACATAAAACAATTAAATTCTAACAATTGAAAAGATACAAACACATGAAAATTAGTCAAATAAATAGCCATTAAATTTAACAGACAAAATTACGGAATACTGTAACGAAATGTGTTTTCATTCTGTATAGAAAAATCTATTTCATTTAGAACAATAAAATATTATTATTCTTCATGTCTATACAAAGGTCAATTTCAATGGATTTAACCTCTAGACCTACTCAAAATTTAGATACACAAATTTGAATACTAGCATAAAAATATCTATGATTAATTATTATGATACAGATTAATTAGACAGAAAGAACCGTCAAGAAATCATCATAAGATAAAAACTAGTGATAATAATCAATGAAGAGGTTTGTAGAGGTTATTGATATCACAAAACGACCTAGGTTAGACATCTATTGAAAATTAACAATTACTGAACAGCCTGTTCCGTCCTAGTATGGGACTTACCAGCAACACACATCCACGACTATGGTCGATTAGTGATATCAGTAACAATCAATGATCTTCACAAACCTCTACACTGATAGTTAACATGCATTCACTAGTGACTAGTTTCAATAGGGGATTCTGAAAATTTAGTGCGAAGCCGTGACCAATAGAGTTCAGAAGCGTCGGATGTGAGAAAGTTTCCAACTAGACACTGGAAAATGGTTGAGCAATACAGAAAATCGTGTGAAGTTGGACACGTTAAGGTAGCAACTAGGATTCCAAAGGACCTAGAACCTTAATCTATTTGACATCGCATAAGCTTCAGCCATTCAATATTTTAAATAACTCACTATCATAAATCACATAAGAAACAACGCCAACTTACAGGCTTTAGTAAGCTGAGACTGAACACGACGTTTCAATAATTCTTGTGGCATAAGAGAACGGACTGTCGAGCCAACAACCCCAGGAGTCTAAAGAAAAGTCAAGGGAAGATCGAAACAACAAATAGGGTAAGAAAGAGAGAAAACAAAGCATTATATATAAGAGCAAAGTTTCTTCGCAAAGAGAATTTAGCAAAAAATAACAATGTATTGTTTAGATCAACAGACTCAATAAGCTAACATTGAAAATAGTAATAATCTTCAGAGCTTTATGCATGGAATATCGTTAAAGGTAGCATGCTTAATTGTGATTAATATTATTTAATAATAAGAAGAGACTATTGGAATCTACAAACATAGCATACTAAAAATAGATTGATTTTAATAGATCACAGAACCCTGTGGTATAAGAGATAGAATTTTTTGAAGAATGTTTTATGAATTTCCAGTTATTCCAGCTTAAATGACAGACAGACAGTTACTATTACCACATGGCATGGAAAAAATATGTTTTGGATCAAATATCACATTGGTACAACCACATGAAATACAATAAAACAGGTCGAAATGAGTTAGGAACGTTCATAGAAAGTAATACTAAACCTTAGAAATATGCTCCCAAAAGACTAAAGCGAAAGGCACATATAAAGGTATAGTTTACTAATTGATCGCTGTTACCAAGCAGACTTCAACCAGAAAATCTGTATCTACCTACATGGTTCAGACCAACAGTGAATGACTTCGTGGACTGGCACCATGTTTTGGTTTGGTCACCCCTTACTTTTTTTCGACGTACTTCCGAACTACTAAGCATTACTCGAAGAGGTAAGGGGTGATTAGTTATACTTAACACATATCTCAACCCTCTTAGTCAATGAAAATTTAAAATTTCACATATCATCAATGAATGCATTAGAATTCCTGATTTGCATACATAAATGTACTGTTAGCCTTTCTTGATTCACATAATTAACTGACTCCGATGAACTGTTTATCTTAGCAAAACAAGAAAAAGCATTCGGCATAGTAGTTTATAATGGAACATTATATGATATGTTCTGTTAGAAATGTTTTGCCCTATGAAATATGATTCTATTCAGTAGAATAATTCCACAAGCAATGCTATGTGGTAGTGAACTAAGGCAGTTTGTCTGTAAAATGCATTTAAGTGGAGAATAAATCATGAAAGTATGCAAATATACTCAAACAAATACTATTCAGAGTAGTGTTGGTCATATCCTAATATATCGGCAACTTATTTGCCAAGTAAAGGTTCATGTATCCGGCTTTGAGTCCTACTGTTCTACTCGATTATATAAACCAAATTAGGTGGAACGACTTTCAAACATGCAACCTGCTGGCTGAAAGCCAAGTATTTCAACCATCAAAATCATTGGTTCACAATATATTGGAAAATTATACTGCATGTGGATATCCACAGAAAACCATTCCACGAAGTTCATGTAAGTCAGAATGTTAGAAAGTTGGATGGGTGCGAGGTGATGAAAATCAACTGACTTTTAAATCATGGCTTGGACTAGGACCACCCGTGACCATTTGTTGAGACGTCATCTTACCCGCGAAATTTCCATAGGAATTTGAATCCGACCTCCTGTTTAAAAAAAGGACGAAAACCAAAAATATAAAAAAAATCGTGAGTTTTTAAAGATAGACAACGACATTTTTCGAAAAATTAAACTTAGAAACATAGTTTGTAACCGTGCAATGAATGGCTACATGAAGGTTCATTAAATTACCTGTAACCAATACATATGTGTAAGATATCTACTGTTTTCACAATACACACACTTAACAATTAGAAATTAAGTAAATGAAAATTCTTAAAATGTTATTGTATATATAAGTGAAAAATACCTTTTTTAACACTGATCAAACGTAATATACTACTAATAAGTACTAGTAATATCCATATGAGTAGAAAATTAAGTTTCTGATTCGAATCAAAAGGTATATGTGCTATAGACAAAAAAATATTCTGTTAATAATTGCACAGAACTTGAAAAACTCCTCATAAGACCAACAATAGCAGTGTATTTAATTTTTAGCAACCATCAAACTGATGATAAAAACACAAAAACAATTTCCTAAATATAACGAAAGGTGAGTTGCTGTAGCTTCCTAAGCCCTACTACTCTCAATAGAAAAAAAAGCTTTACCATCCATCTCTCACAGAATTACTTTCAACAAAATGAAGTGACACTGAAGTAATCCAACCCATTTCGATAATTTTTTTCTTGTACTAAAATAATTCCTAATTGTTTGTTTATCCTCGGAAGAAGTGACCTACACTAAATCGCGAAACATCACAAATATAATTTTCTACTCATTGGCATACTACATACATATAAGTGTTTTTATTATTAACAATCTATACAATGTTCAATTCATTTGAAAGTATCAAGTTTAACCTCGGTAATGATAACTACGAATAAATATGATGAAAAAACAACTCTGAAATAATGAAATTAAGACAATGGGAAGGTGAACAGCACGAAAAGGCTTCTAACTTATATATTTCCTGAGAGGTATGAAGTTGATTTGCCTGAAACAAAAGTCGATTTTTACTTTGGAAAAAGTCGAGACACTATAATCCTCATATATTGTGTGTTCAATAAAAATATTGAACTGAGTGTTGTTGTCCTAATTCTTCTATAGTTTGTATGTAACAAAATATACAGACAAAATAGTGGTTATATATACTACACCGACTCTTGAAAAATCAAGAACAAATACAAACGAGTGTTTAGCTATTATCGCTTACATCAAAACGTCTACAAGGTACTACTACTTTATAGACATAATTTAACACTATCCAGATGACAAAAAAAAAGAATTTTTCCGCAATCAATAAAGAATAAGCTACAAGCAATCGATCGCTTACCACGTGTGAACAATTATGTCGCCTGTTGTAGGCGGTTTATATTAGGTAGACCTTATCGATCAGAATTAAGTACATAATCATTTATAACTTGTAATTATGTAAACTTGTAAAATATGAACAAAGAAAATCGAACAAAATTAAGGGATTGTTTAAAGTACGTGAAAACACTAGAATCACGTGTCAACCGATTAGCATATAAGAATAACTTTCTAAGGATTCTAGTGGATGCCCTAGTAACCCCTCCTAAATGTTTCTTTTGACAGTAGTGCAATTCTTTTTAATGAGTTTCTGTTTCTCATTTTTCTGTACATGTAAACTATTATCCAGCCATATTCTGACATTTCTCAGTCTTCTTTGAATAAATATTTACTAATTAAATTTAATCTAGATTTGCCTTTAATATACTGTTTGTTATTTTGTGATGTCGGACCATTGACAATAACGTCTTCCTCAACAAAAATCAAGGTTACAGTGTGGAGTAATTGCCTGTTAATGTTCTTTGGTTATCTGATGGAAATGTTTGCAACTTGACTTGAATCTCGCAGACAGAATTTTGACCCCGTTTTATCGAATGTCAGGTATTTAATAATTGTATTTAGTAACCACCTTTTTTACTACCTAGTACGTTATTTTGTATCAGAGAAACTTTCGACTATATACTGTGCAAGGAACATCGTTTCTTTATTTGTGATATGATTTACTATTATTATGTGGTGTCGTTTTTATGTATAAACATTGCGTATAAAATTCATGTTTTGATATCATTGTTGACTGTAAGTGACGCAACGAACCTTCGTGCCCAATAAGGAAGAAAGCAGTGGTTTGAAGTAAATTAATTTTCGTTTTGTCGAATCATTTTCTGCTTTTAGACAGAAATATTTGAATTTCAGTCGTAAAACTATAATACAATGAATAGTTTGTAAGACTACTTGGTGGGAAGAATTGTTTATTAGCATTGATTTTCAAAATGTAAGATTGTCGTACTTACGTAATACAAATCATTTACTGAGGCAGTTTGAAAGTTTTAGAGCCTAACGATAATGTTAATTTAGTCCATATTTGACCCAAAGAAAGTTTAGAATTTCGTCAATAAATTAATTACTAACACCTTAGTGTTTAGTGAAAATGTGGCTGAACTGGACACAGATGACTGAACAGAGACGATTTCGTCAATAACAGTTGATAGAATTCGATCAGATATCAATAAGTTCCGTAAGAAATGTTTAAAATTCCGTCTTCTAGAACGTTTTAAAAATAATGACTGTTATGTCTCTCTTCTTCTTAAAAAAAATGACAGATTAAAAATATAATTTGAATTCTAAAAAATGACCTGACAAGTTTACGTTGACAAAACTATGACGTTATTTCAGGAAATTCACGGAAAGTATCCAGTTGAACAATGACAAAAGTATTGTTGTAAAACAACCTATCAACAAAGTGATAATCCAAAATATTACAAAAGCAGAGTGAATATTAATACCAGGATGCAGGTATATCCAGTTGAGAAGCTCAGAAAGAGAACGAGACGTGCGTCTTAGATTCCACTGCTACTAACAGTTAATATTTTCCATGGACCATTAGGACAGTCAAAAATGAACTTTATGCAAATAATTTGATCTAGGGAACATAATAAGTATTAAGAAAACCACAGAGACTTCCTCAAAACACATTTTTCAGATGATAAGTAGGGAACATATTACTTCATTGAAGGGTTGTTAATCATACATGGCTTGAGTGGTATTTCTTTTCGATTTCTTGAGTGAGAAAGCTATGAAAACCTTTTATAAAGAACCTAACTTTGCAAAAACAAAACTTACTCAATTATTAAGGGATTTATATATAAGTACATAGATGAACTGCGAACAGCTTCGACTAGTTCAACAAACGATTGAATGATGTTTGTTGGTTTAATAATCGAACTACTTATAAGTAGTAAAAAGCTTTAGCTAAAATACGTTGACAAGGGAAGCAGAAGCGACTGAGGTACTGGCAAATACGTACTTCAGCCTAAGTTGTCACAATACATTAGAACAGTAATATAAAATAATAGAAATGGACGACTAGTCACTATAAATAGTAGTAGTAATAAAAATGGTACGAACATACAACATGACCTAAGAAAAAAGATACCATTTTTCGAACAATGATAATTTTAAAACTGAATACTTAAGGAACGAGGAAGTAGATGGATCTGCACCAATTCGATAGATCGAACTAACACCTCTAAGCCCTGGTCACAATAATAGTGCTAATACAATCCGACTAGTATTCACCTGCAAACAATAACTGGAATCGATCTGTACTTCTATTCTGATTACTAATGTCGCAATTTAAGTGAATGTAACTTATCAATTGGAAAAAATTGCGAATTTCGTCTATTCTATATTAATTTGTGTTATAATGGCCTTATCGAGGTAGTCCACATGTAAACAACAGAATAACACAAAGCATTCCAAATTATATTAAGATTGAAACCCGTTGCACAAGTGAGTAGCTAACTGGATAAAAGTGGTGGCGCTTGAGGAGAAAGGTACTGGGGTTCGAGTCCTTGAGTGAACATCAACTCAAGGATGTAAGCACACCCAGCTTACAAGTCCCAAATATGACGAAATGAGAGTCCTGGATTCCAATGCAAGTCATGTTTTATTTAGTCTACATTAACTGCGACTGATTGTGACTGAAAACCAAACAATTTAACTATTGAGCAACAGCTCCATATACATAAATATATCTACGAGTTAAAATCACCTTGAGGTTAATTGTTTTCCAGAATTCCCATCTGAAGACTTTGATGATTCTTTTTTAGTATCATTTTGTTCCTCGTCTGATAATTCCAATTCATCGGCTGATTCTAACTCAGGACGATAATATCGCTTGCGTACTGGAGGTGAAGGTTGTTTTTGAACGTTTGGTTGAATAACGGCGTCTTGTTCACACGGTGGATTTTGATTGAAGGATCTAGTAGACGGATTTGCACTAACCCTACAGCAACAGGGCAAAAACAAATAAACATAAGGTAAAATTAAAATGAGGATTAGATTTTGTTGTTGTAAGGTATAGATCGTGAAATAAACGTAAGTTTACAGTAACTTATTTCGAGTGGTATAATAACCTCGAGTTCTTGTGAGCTGTGACCAGCAGAGTCCAACCATATCAGACACAAGAAACCTACCTACTGATGACGTAGGAAGATCATTATGCAATATCGAGAATTCATTGATGTTAGACAAATATACTATTTAATGCAGGTTGACAACCTAAAGGTTAAGCATTCATAGCGAAATCCGAAGGTCCTAGGGTTTGAAGCCCAGCGGGGCCGTGGATGCAAACAACTGAATCCCACCAATACAAGGATGAAATATGTGTCCAGCACTTGCTGGTTATCAATGGTCTTTTTTGAATAAGGTCAACTGGCGACGAAAACTGTAAAAATAAAGCAAAATTTCTGAGGATTTGAAAGATAAAGAGTGGATATATTCACGCCATTTTGCAGAGAAATAACAACAGTAGTAGTAAATAACTGTATTTGGAAGTTTGTATTGAGTATATCTGTTTCTCTTCCAATTTCTTAGGAAACACGAAACTACTAAAAAATAGCACAAACGATAGAATACTGAATCTGATCATTTCGGACAACAACATACATAAAAGTATGAAAAAACAGTACTTTTCAAGGAAATATATACAAAATCATGAAATGGGAAGAGCCCCTTAGGTTTAAAACATTATAAAAGGTGATTAGACAAGGAAATGAAAAGATAGATATAATCAACATAAGGCCTGGAAAAGATATGTCTTGAATCAAATTCCCATATCACATTAGCACAACCACATAAAATACAATAGAAACTTTCATAAAAAAACCTTATAAATATGCTCCAAAAAGACTGGATCGAAAGGTATGCATGAAGGTATACTCCACTAAATGGTCGTTAATATCAATCAGATTCTAATCTGGATCTACCCAAAATGGCTTAGATCAACAGTCAGTGACTTCATGGAGTGACACTATGTCTTGGTTTGGCCGCCGATAGCTTTCTGTTAGCATACTTCTGAACTACCGAACATCACTCGTAGATGTCGGGGGTGCTTAGACATACTTAACACATACAAACCACCTTAGTCGACGAACATTTACTACATAATCAAACAATTTGCTACGTACACTATATGTCTAATCTCAACGTCCCGCTTATAAGCACTGGGTTTCTTCTGGTTCCTTACAACTCATCAAAACTCGTCGGTCTACTCCGGGTAACCGTGAGTTTGACCACAAACGAAAGCTGTTACATAATGAAATCGGGCAAAGCTTGTGTAAGGACCATGAAGCCTGGTGGTCAAAGCGTGCTAATGAGATGGAAGCAGCAGCTGCATCTGGTAATTACCGGAAGCTCTTCCAACTCATCCGAGCCACTGGCAGCAAGAAGTTTGGTGTGAGCGAAACAATCTGCGAGGATGACGGAACGCCAATCACTAACATCCATCGACGTCTTGGACGATGGGCCGAATTCTTCGAAGGGCAGTTCAACTGGCCTGCTGTTCCGGCAACATCGGTCAGACTGTCCTGCCCTCCATGGCCGGTGACGACTGATCCACCAAATGAGGTGGAAGTCCGCAAGGAACTCCAACTCTTGATCCGCTACAAATCACGAGGTTGAGATTACTTAACCCCGGCTCTTTTTAAAGATGGTGGTGACTTTCTTGTTAAGAAACTGACTGTGTTGTTTACAAAGGTCTGGGAGCTAGAGAGTGTTCCAACACCATGAAACGAGTCGATAGTTGTCCCTATCTTTAAAAACGGTTCACGTCGTTTCTGTAACAACTATCGGGGGATAATTCTACTTCCGATTGCGTCCAAACAATTAACTTCCGTCAGACTTCGTAGGTTGTTCAAAACCCGAGAAAGATTGACTCGCGAGGAGCAGGCTGGGTTTCGTTCTGGTCGAAGATGTATTGATCATATCTTCACCCTCCGCCAAGTGTTAGAACACCACCATACTTATCAAAGGCCAACAATCGTAGTGTTTCTTGATATCAGGGCTGCCTTCGATTCGTTGGACAGAACTATTCTCTGGGATTGTCTATTGAAGAAGGGTGTGTCTGAGAAGTTTATTAACATCCTAAAAGCCCTATACACAAACACCTCAGGCAGAGTGAGGGCATACAGCCACCTTTCTCCACTATTCCATTCAAGCAGTGGAGTTAGGCAGGGTTGCCCCATCTCACCATTCCTCTTCAACTTTGCCATCGATGACATTCTGGAAACAGCTCTGATGGATGTAAGTAATGGTGGTGTGGATCTGTTGCCTGGAGAATGACTTCTCGACATTGAGTATGCGGATGATATTGTCTTACTGTGCGAGAATGCCCAAGCCATGCAATCCGCACTTAATCAGTTGGCAATCAATATCCGTAGGTATGGTATGTGCATCGCACCTTCCAAGTGCAAAGTACTTCTACAAGACTGGCAGGATTCTAATCCTGTACTCACTCTGGATGGTGAGCAGATAGAAGTAGTCGAGAAGTTCGTGTATCTAGGTAGCTGCATAAGTGCTGGTGGTGGCGTGAGTGATGAGATCAATGCACGCATAGTGAAAGCCAGAGCGGCTTATGCCAATCTGGGCCACCTTTGGCGCCTTTGTGATGTTAGTCTGGCTGTAAAAGGTCGGATCTACAACGCGACGGTGAGAGCAGTTTTGCTCTATGCTTGTGAAACCTGGCCTCTCCGAGCTGAGGATGTTAGACGACTCTCTGTGTTTGATCATCGTTGTCTCCGAAGGATTGCTGGCATCCAGTGGCAACACTATGTCAGTAATGCAAAGGTCCGGCATCGTGTGTTCGGTCACAGAGACGATAATGAAATTGGTGTCACCATCTTGAAACATCGACTTTGGTGGCTTGGATATGTTCTACGGATGTCGTCCCAGAGAATTCCTCGTCATGCATTATTTGCCGACTCTGGGACTGGTTTGAAAAAGCGGAGAGGTGGTCAGTGTATGACATGGTGTCATGGTATGAAAGAAAACTGCAAAGGGATAGCTTCTGTTGGTCCTTCACGACTCCCTGGTTGGGGTCCGAGAGATGGTGCAACACAGTGGCTGTAGACGTTATCAGATATGGCTCAGAATAGAAGCCAGTGGCGATCCTGCTGTAACCTTCTTTTAATTTCTTCGTACAGAGTGGTTACTTTTTCCCTAACTGTAAGTATTCCTCTGATTGTACCTTTTCGTTTCCCCCCATTTTTGTTTTTTTATATAATTCCCTGCGTTCCTTACCCTTTTTCCCCTTCTCTTTAAATTCTCATTGTTTTGTGTGGCGCATATATATTTGGTACCCCCTTGTACCAATATTTATGTGTTCAAATAAATAAATAAAATAAAACTAATCTCAACATTACTCATTCATTCATCCCACAGAACAAGAAAATAGTGCTAAAAAATACATAATTGTTCTTCGAAGCTTCACATAACAAACAAAACTATGTTAGACAACTACTGAAAACCAGGAAGTACTGGAAAATGTCCTGTCGTTTGAGTATGAGACTCCTCAGCATTGTGCATTTATGACCCCACCAAAGATCGGACCCCAAATCAGTCGATGGTGTGAAACTTCAAATTCAACAATCTCCACAAAACCATAGAACATAACTGTCCTTCGACTTATGAATTGTATGGTAATGATTTAAACTGTATTGTCAGTACATAAGTATTAAAAAATTGATAGGCAGAGCCGTCAAACACCATTTAAGGAGTCGTGAATAAATAAAATTATTCCAACATCAGACTTAAGAGACGTAAAACAAAAGTTGATAAGGATTATAATTATGAACTGAAAAACTTTTATAACGTAACAATCAAAAAGACAGTCTAAAAAGGGGTAAACTAACCGATCATAGTTAGATTTTCGATTGTCGGTTGAAGTACTAGAACTAGAACACGATCTTCTTGATGAAGAGGATCTGTGCCTTGAGCGGTATCGATTCGGACTACATTTGTACCTCCGGTAAGAACTACGATAACTTCTGCTGCTGTTACTATTCCGCGTTCGACTATGATATCTCCTACGGCTCCTGCTACCACGAGAACTGTGTGATCGCCGACTACTAGATCGAGAGGTGGAACGGCGGTAGCGGTTTCTCGATTGCAGTGGTCTTCTTCGATCACTAAAACTAGGAGAGGACCTGAAAAAAAGATATAATATGAATTACATAACGTAAACTCGATTATGAAACGACTGAAATCATTTACTTGTTTGATGAACAATTTGAGGTCCAATAGTTTATTGGGGCACAGTAATGATAATTCAATTAATCCCGCTGTTTTAAAACAGACACCAATGGCTTAGCCATGTTTTACGAATTTCACCTCAATGGCTCCTATAATGAGCATTTATTGTTGACTTCGAGACTGTGGAGGAAGTGGATAGTCAGTTTATGACACGGTGCTGTAGTATAAATGATAGCTAATATAGCGTTAACAACTATCACAGTTCATCATGAATTCCTATTCGAGGTCCTCAAGATTGAGTAACCTAGTTGTTGTTGTCAAGTATGGCTCAGAAAGGGTCAGTGGCGATTCCTTTTTCTTTTCCTCATAATATTATTACTTCTATTTATGGATTGAATTTTTTGAGTGATAAATACTTGAGTATTTACACTGGTCTAACAACGAATTAGTAACATAATCACAAATGATAAATAAAAAACTACCCTACAACAAACTTCATCTATGGACAACAATAACTTTACCGTATGCGAGATTCAGTTCTTGTGGATTTTGGACCAGATGCACTGACAAAACTACTTTTACTTTTGACTACTGATGTTTGTGATGTTGAACTGAGCAGCTTGGAAACAACAGAAGCTGCGACAGCAGATGCAGCTGATCCAGGAGGTTTAGAATCTAATGAACCAGATAATCCACCTCCATTTCGATCAGAGAGCAATGTTTGTTTATTTGAACTAAATCGTGAACTCCCACTATTATTTCGTTTATCATCAACATTGTCTTCATTATCACCAAATGTAGTAATGTATTCTACACGAGAGTGTTTAGGGCGACGAAATCCACTACGTGATCCTCGATTAGAGTAAGATCGCTAAAAAATAAAGAGGAAATACGACATTTATAACATTGGTATATTGAGATTCAGCTTGTCATGTACAACCTATAGGACAAAGAATACGATGTCCGGTCAGTACAAATGAAGGCGAATTCCAGAAGAAAGTAATCGGCTAGGCGAACATAGAAATATTACAAGCCAATATAAGGTCAGATAACAGGTATAAAATTGTAAACAGGCCATGTCATAGGTTACGCATTATTTAGTTAGGGTTTCAGAATACATACAATTATCTGGATTACAAGAACGATTTTATCTATAAACCAATGATTTAGTGCGCTAACACATTCAGTTTGGCAATTAAAACACTTTACTCATTTCAGTTTTTTTGTTTACATAATGAACTTGGTTTATTGTAGAAGTGTATATCATAACCGAGTTAGGCTTCAATACAAAGCAGAATGAATATTTACAATAATCATGTTTATAAAACTAACAGTAATGAATATGGTCAACTTTACTCAATATGATTCTGATTAAAAATAAATGTACAGCAATATAAACTTGCTAGGTCATCATCATCTGATGACTGGTGAGTTTTTACAATTAAGACAATTCTCCATTTGACCAGCTTCTTTGACGGTAAATATATTAGCTTTTAAATTAAGTCATATAGAACAAAAATACAATATGGTTTACTGTCATCCATTTTAAAGAATGAGAACATGTAATATGGCAGAATATGAACAGCTAAGAATAAAAGATACATTTGAAACACATCTAAATTGTATTCAATAATGCAGTTGAACCTTTTGGCACTCATCAACAAGGAGTGCTAGCAATTCATGAAGGAACTAAGGCGCCTCGTAAGATTCAAACATGTATCATCCAGTAGTTAGACTTTATTCCGACAACTGACCAGTGGACTTACGAAATCGAGTTGTTATTTAACCAGTTTTATCTTTAGTAGTGGCAGAATTAGTGAGAAGAATTTAATAAGTAGCTAAAATATTTAAAGTTAGTGACTATATTCAAATTTATTACTTATGGATTGAGAAAAGAAGTTACTTTCAAGTAAAAAAAAATACATCATGCCCCCAAATGCCCTGGTATGGCCGAGAGCGGGGAGGGTTCGCCCTCCCTCTCGAAATACTCTCACACGGCCACGCGTATACAGCCTCTGCCAGGGAAGTCCTACTCACTGCCTTCTCGTGGCGAGGGTGTTGTTTACGAAAATGAGAGGACGAAAAGCGCATGTCCGGCGCTATAACCGGATCCAAACCAATGGTGCACATGGGCTCCAGTATCCTGAGGGAACAAATGGCGTATGAACCAACTTTTGGTCACCGGCTTCCATGGGACTGCATCTCCTCACGATGCTCCACTGCCTTGTGGACTAGACCCTTAGGTCAAAGGCTCGGGGTGTGGCCCCCTAAGAAAACCACCTGCTTCGGTTTGGGCACCCGGGCAGTATCTCAACCCACGCACTAAAACCATGATGAACTATTTGCTTATGGAAAATATTCCTTTCTATCTGATTAACATTGAAATAACTCGTACTATTATTATTATTATTATTATTATTACTCTACCACGTCATTTATTCACCCTCTCTTATTCCTACTTTATGTATCCGTTTCGACTCAGACAGCAGCTCACCTATGGTGAAAATTCAGCTTTATCTAAACATTCTCGAGTCACTGCCTGGCTGAAAACTGTATGTTACCACCGAATATGAGTACTGAAGCAGTTTTTCTGAAACCACGTACACCATTCAAACTGGCTGCCTTCAACGTTCGCATACTTATGCAGGTCGGACAACAGATAGGGCTGGCTATGTCTTTGGAAAGTCTTAATATTGACGTGTGTTGTCTATCCGAGACCCGTATTCAAGACTCTGGTGAAGTACTACAAGTTCGCTCTCCATCTGTCGCTTCAAAAAGCTTGTTTTATGTGCGGTTATCTGGGGACCCTGTGGCATCTTCGTCTGGTTTTGCTGGCGTTGGTGTTGCACTAAGCGCTAGAGCTGAGGCAGCACTAATCGATTGGATCCCCATTGACAGTCGGTTATGTGCTGTTAAATTAGAAAGTTCCATCAAATTACGAAGAAATCAGAGTGAGAAATGATGTCTTCTCGTCATCTCTGCCTACAATCTGACAGATTATAGCTACGATGCGATTAATAATGAGTTTTATCACCAGTTAACTGTTCTTCTCCAGAAAGTGATTTCCACAGATATTGTAGTACTAGCTGGAGACTTGAATGCTCAGGTCGGGCGTCCAGGCACAAAAGAGAGTCGTTTAGGTGGCAGATGGGGACTCGTTGGTCGCAGGACAGATAACGGGGAACGTCTACTGCAACTATGCACAGACCACAACCTGTTTCTGGCTAGCACTAACTTTCGGCATAGTCATCGACGATGTGCCAACTGGCATCCCCCTTCTACATCTCAAGCCTGGATACAGATTGATCACATCGCAATCAGCTACCGCTGGCGTGGTTGTGTACAAGACTGCCGCTCCTTTTGGAGTACCTATTCGGAATCTGATCATGCTCTGGTCTGCGCCAATCTTACCTTACTTATCAGTGGACAACAAAGTGACCGCCACCAAAGGATCGATGTTAGCAAGCTGGCTGCAACTTCTGTTGCTAGTAAGTACCGAACCGAGCTAGCTTCTAGGCTAGCTACCATTCCACCGAAAAGTATAGATGAGCATTGGTTGCAATTGCATGACGCCATGAAAATGGCGGGTCAAGTCTGTTGTCGGTTCGCGAAACGTCCCGTAAGGACCGTGAAGCCTGGTGGTCGGAGCGTGCTAATGAGCTGGAAGCAGCAGCTGCATCTGGTAATTACCGGAAGCTCTTCCAACTCATCCGAGCCACTGGCAGGGTTGCCCTATCCCACCATTCCTCTTCAACTTTGCCATCGATGACATTCTGGAAACAGCTCTGATGGATGTAAGTAATGGTGGTGTGGATCTGTTGCCTGGAGAAAGACTTCTCGACATTGAGTATGCGGATGATATTGTCTTACTGTGCGAGAATGCCCAAGCCATGCAATCCGCACTTAATCAGTTGGCAATCAATATCCGTAGGTATGGTATGTGCATCGCACCTTCCAAGTGCAAAGTACTTCTACAAGACTGGCAGGATTCTAAACCTGTACTCACCCTAGATGGTGAGCAGATAGAAGTAGTCGAGAAGTTCGTGTATCTAGGTAGCTGCATAAGTGCTGGTGGTGGCGTGAGTGATGAGATCAATGCACGCATAGTGAAAGCCAGAGCGGCTTATGCCAATCTGGGCCACCTTTGGCGCCTTTGTGATGTTAGTCTGGCTGTAAAAGGTCGGATCTACAACGCGACGGTGAGAGCAGTTTTGCTCTATGCTTGTGAAACCTGGCCTCTCCGAGCTGAGGATGTTAGACGACTCTTTGTGTTTGATCATCGTTGTCTCCGAAGGATTGCTGGCATCCAGTGGCAACACTATGTCAGTAATGCAAAGGTCCGGCATCGTGTGTTCGGTCACAGAGACGATAATGAAATTGGTGTCACCATCTTGAAACATCGACTTTGGTGGCTTGGATATGTTCTACGGATGTCGTCCCAGAGAATTCCTCGTCATGCATTATTTGCCGACTCTGGGACTGGTTTGAAAAAGCGGAGAGGTGGTCAGTGTATGACATGGTGTCATGGTATGAAAGAAAACTGCAAAGGGATAGCTTCTGTTGGTCCTTCACGACTCCCTGGATGGGTTTCGAGAGACGGTGTAACGCAGTGGCTAGAGACGTTATCAGATATGGCTCAGAATAGAAGCCAATGGCGATCCTGCTGTAACCTTCTTTTACTTTCTTCATAAAAAGTGGTTGTATGTTCCTTAACCGAAAGATCTCTTCTGATTGTACCTTTCCGTTTTCCCCATCATTGTTCTCTCTCTCTCTCTCTCTTTTTTTTATAATTCCACACGTTCATTACTTTTTTTTCTCCTTCTCTTCAAATTATCATTGTTTTGTGTGGCGCATATATATTTGGTGCCCCCCTGTACCAATATTTATGTGTTCAAATAAATAAACAAATAAATAAAAAAAATACATCACTAGACATACATCAGATGAACTGGAACGGTGGCCTCGGACGCTTTCTCCGCTGCTGCTTGAAGTACGACCAGATTTCGAACGATATTTTGAACTAATACTGTGACCTGATTGTTTGTTGTTCCGACGACATAGACTTATCGATGTCATCCCACCAATAAGAATAGCAGGTCCACGAGCATTTGAAAGAACTGGTTTAGCACGAGCCCTCTGAGCACGAATAGTGGCTGCTTTTGAAGTAGGACTTCCGTAAACAATACCTGAAAAATCTTGATCCTCTACATCAGATGGATAATCACCAGAATCCGACGAACTAGCAGATAAGTAGACAGTTCTTCTGGAAGTAAGAAAATAAATTTGAAAGTTAGATTCTGTTATTATGTAAATACAGAGTAGATAATAAGGCAGAGAGATAGACAATTTAAGGCTCGCACGACCGTTTCGAAATATACATAAAAGCGGTTGAGAAAAAAAGCATTTTAAAGAGCGGTTTAACAAAATATGACACGTGGTTTGGTTACCTCCAATCCGTCAATAATACCGCCAGCCACTTCCGATATCCCTACGACCTTAACCGGTCTTGAAGCTGACAGCGCTCCGTCATATTCTGGAATTTGTTTAATTTGTCTTATATCTTTTTTCTCTAATGCTATTCGATTATCATCTCATGTTTCCATCTATTCAACCAGTCAGGATCTACTATCTCGTTCAACAAGAAGTTAAATCATCTCATCATATTCACAGAGATGCCTACGTCTAACATGTTTTGTAAGCTCCTGGGGAGTTAGACAGATGTATCTAAATGGATCCTTCAGAAGCGGAACAACAATCACTTACTACGTAACATATATCATACAAAAGACAGGGTAACATAACCAAATAAAAAATTGTCTAGCAAGCCAAGAAGAGATGGATAATCAGCGGATTATATATCAAAGGGAGGAAAATAGAAAATAGAATAAGAAAATATTGATCACTAGGGTCGATCCAAGCAATTGAAACCTTTAACACAACTTCAAAAACGCCTAAAATTATGGTTTTAAGCCGCGAAAAATGGGTAAAATATCCTTACTCTAAACACTAAGCATACAAATAATCCCCTTTAATCTGCTCGAGAATATAGTCAGGAGATACCAGGACTCAATAATGATCTTTGACGACATTTTGACCACAGGTTAGCTAGTTAACAGATATATTTCCCTTTTTTGTCACTGAGATACCTGATCATGATTTTTAGATGGAAATAACAGTTACGAGAGGACAATGGCCTGATTGAAAATTTCTATGTTGTGGCTTTTGAATGAACTCAATACTAATAAGAGGGAATTTTTACAAAAAAATATTTGCCCTTTTTGGATACACTTACGTTTATGAACAAGAGTTTTGATGCACATGAATTTCAGTAAATCAAAATTAAGATTTCACATCATAAGCAAATAGCTGAAGTCAGTATTATGCTTTATTACAAATGATTTAAGAATCCAACGCACTAATGAAAAACTGCATAGTTGTAATAATCTTATCAATATAGTGACGCTGTTAACGCTAATGATTGTTTAAGCAAACGTTTATTTCATTATTAAATAATCTATGTTAATATATTCATTAAAAATGTCGGCATTTTGCATGTGCTATCCATTAGATGTAGCATTTATATTCATGTGGCCTTAGAATAAATAAAAGTCTGCCAACTTCTCAATACAGCTGGAATGATAATTATCGACCTCATCGATTGATTATCTCTCATTGTTCAATCAACTACGCTCAAATTCAGCGTAACTCACTCAAGTTTTCTACTACATATAATCAACCCTTCGAAGAAATCCACCATGCGATTAGTTGGCTGACGCTGAGAATTTATCCGACAGAGACAGAACTACTTTTGAAAGAACCGATGTGCAACAAAGTCTTTAGGTTATGAGTGTGACTTAATGGAAGAGATTTGTTTTTGTTATCACAAAATTTATTTGCCAAGTAAAGATCTGTGTATACAGCCTACGAGTCACACCATGAGAGAACTAATGATACCATCCGTCTGCCTAAACTGGAGTAAGTGTATCGGGATTCCAACTTGCAATCAGTGGTTGAAAAGCGAACGCCTTAACCACTAAGTCAAAGTTCCATTAAACATATTCGTTATTAACTCATTTACCTGGTACATATCTATGTACTTGAATTAAGGCTAAGTGTGAATGCTAGAGATATTACTTGGTTACCTAAATCGAAGAAGGTGGAGGGCTGTACGGACCTGCAACTTAATAGTTGAAAGTCGAACGCCTTAATCAATAAACAACTGTCTCTAGAATAACAAAAAAATCAGCTAGCACGCCCCAGATATTAATTAGAGTAGTATAAAATATATGTTTAGACTTTGTAAATAACAAAACAATTATTTACCTGGATATCGGTTGTCCATTTAAAAGACCAATCCTGTTTTTTTCACGTCCAAATATAAAAACAACAACAAATAAAATTAACAACCATAATAAATTGAAAATAATTATCAATCTAAGAAAGTATTTTAAAAAGATACCATGTTCATATTGGTTGTAAATATCTGTACCTAAGGCTACAATGACTATTTCAGATGAAAATTTATTAAAAACTAATTAATTCTGCCCATTCATAATCAACGTAGAGCCTGGAACATATGTGAAATGATCAAAGTAGAAAAAAAGAATATTATTATTAACAGACAATTTAATGACACGTCAGTAATTACATACTATGCGGATTATCATACAGGAATGTGTTGAAAGAAGATTAGGAGCAACCAGATAAAGACATAATATCAGTCCATGAAGCTATCGATTATCAGTTTAAGTTGTATTTAAAATAGTACAAACTTTCCGGCTCTAAACCACTGGATAAGTATAATCTGTTTCTTTGAATTTGAAAAACTCATCATTATATGCCGTGAAAGACATTTTTGTCTGGTCGTCTAAACTAGTTATGATCAGCTAATTCTCTTTAATAAATTTACACTGAAACAATAAAATACTAACGATTTCAACCCGAACTACTTTTTTTCAAGTGAATATAATCTTTATATTAAATTTGATTAGCATCGAATAAATTTAGTTATGAAATAGAATAAATCTTACATAAGCCTAAAAATCAAAACATTAATTTATGTATCAAGTTTGATAAACAGTTACACAACAGCTTAATCTATCTGTATGCATATATGTAAACATGAGTCTAGTTGAGTAATACAGAATTAAAATAAAATATTGTAGTCGAATTCCTTTTTATTAAGCAAATATGATAGAGACATGTTTTTTATCGACAATGATTTCATAATATATACATACATAGTTAAAGCCAATGTTACAACTGATGAACTAGATAAGAGTTAAAATATCAATATGTCAAAATCCACTTAAAATAAATGCCTAGCTTAAAATGGCTGTATATAAGTCTAAGTGAACTACACTTTGTGGAAAAGAAGGGTTCATCCACCTAAAGGAGTTCTAACCAATGGTGCATATGAGTATTAGGATCCTAAGGGAACGAATGGAATATGAACTTATACTGGACACTAGCTACCATGAGATTGCATCTACTAATGTACTCCCACTAACATACGGCAGTGAACTTTAAGCTGAAGATTGGGGGAGTGATCCTTTATGAAAACCAGTTTAGATGCCCAAGCACAGCATTCAAGCTCACAAGCAATGCAGATTGTTAGTGGAGAAAGTAACGATCATGAGCTACTTGTCTTATCACACCATACATCATCACAAGAGGAAAATAACAAGATGAAAAGCAAAGAACTGGGAAAATATCAGATGGAATGAAAAAGTGAACACAATAAATACATAATTCGATTAGAACGAATAATAAAGAATAAAAAGCATGAAATGAATCCAAGTTCAAGATTTTTAAAAAAAGGTAGAGAAAATGGATAAAACTGAGTCATTGTGATAGCTTTTTGATAGTTTTACCAAACACGTCTGCAACTATGTATTAAAATTATCCCAAGGATCTAAAAAACGAGATATCTGTCTGTATTTAGCGACGAAACTGGGTTAATGCTGCCAAGTACCTTATAATATATTTTTAAGAAATAGTTGAAATGCCACTGATTTTCTCTAAGCATAGAACATTGACTATAGTGTTTTATTGCACTGCGTCACAGCGTGCATCACTACACGTTCATCAAACACAATAAAACATAATTAGACCTTTAAGTTATTTGGTTACCTTCAAAATTCGAGACATTAATTTAATCAGTATAAAGCACAACTATATACACCTTGGAGGTAGAATGAAAATCAAACATTTATTATTCCCAAACCTGTCCAATCATTAAAATCTTTTGATGTACAACACATACATATCAGAATTTTGCCATGATGCATTGTTCGACAGACCAATATCAGTTCTGTTAGCATAGAATAAATAAAATGAATATATCTACATTCGATATTTATCTACAAAAGTACAGGTAGTTAGTTACTCACGCACTTTGTGGTCAGTAACCGGGGGAATTTCTCCTGAGCTCGACGTTCTCTTAATAAACGTCTAGAACGTCTAGATTTACGACCCTGTATGTAGACAATGAAAGACAGAAGGAAAAAATTATGTACATGTATATAAACCTAGCTGCTACAGTAATATAATAACTTGGATTAAACATACATAGAGTATTAATATAAAAGTAAAATATGAATGAGACTCTTCTACAAACATCTGAAGAATACGCTTAATATTTTCTGAAAGGTTTATTCAATGAATAAGAGATTATTTTACCTTTGGTTTCTAAAACGTTTTTAAGTATACAGTACATATATATTGTTATCTAATTCCCCATTTGGAATAGCTCATTGAAAAATCACTGACTCTCTGAGGATTCTTCTTTCATAAAGGTTGAATGCACACCTCGACGCTGAATGTCAGCGATTATGTTGAACTTGGATTATTTAACATTGAACAAAGTGCAGTCTGCTGTCAAGCTATACAGTTCAATAAAAAGTACCAATTTATGCATAAAGCGCATATATATTTGGTGCTCCCTTGTACCAATATTTATGTGTTCAAATATATAAATAAATATGCATAGAGCATTAAACTACACTTTATGCATAAAGATTAGCGAAAATTAACAACTGTGCAAATAAAATTAGATGGACTGAAGTTCAACCATGAGAATGAGAGGTTAAAAGTTAATAGTTCTGTTAAATAAACCACCGCTTCATATAGAGAATGATGCAGTAATGCACGTATATAACAGTAATTTCCATTGTTTTCAGCTTCCACACACTGGTCACTTTAGGACATGAAAACTTACAGATAACTGCAATTTCTCCTCTTCTAAAGCTTTGGCTAACCGTAATTCAACCTCCAATTGTTGGTCAGCATCCAAAAGGCGCAAAAAATCGGATGGATGCAAACCAAATGTAGCAGCTGATTTGGCTAATTGACGACGAGCCTCTGCTGTTAAAGCGCTGGCATCCAATTCGACATCTAGAAGTATGAAACATTAAAGGTTTCTCAAATGTAGATGTGAACATACAGAGGGGATAAATTTTTTCAAATATTTTAAATGTATGAAAAAAATATGAAAACTAATTCTTTTCAATGAAAATTTCGCCTCAGAGATTAAACTTTTGAATGCGCGGATGAAACTTTGAACAATCGAAATAATCAAAATAACGTATGAATATAACTCTTTGGCTATGAAACGTATACAAGAATCGCACGTTACAAGGATTTTGAGATGGCAAGAATTTATTGCATTCCATTGCATTGTTATATGATTCTGCTTACTTGAAGCGCAATGTTTGGTGGTATAAGAAGAAGGCCGGGTGCGGCCAAACAAACGCGTGGCACAAGCCTATGAAGTTATTAACAGTTCACTTGAGCCGTGTTGGTAGGTGCAGACTACCCATTGTAGGGTCCGCGTAATTATTGTAACAATTGATTGTGGACGTTGGTTAATATAACTCCGAATTAGTTGCACTGGGATGGATTCATTCACTCTTTGTCTTTCTTTAGATCCTGGGCTTTAAAATGGTCTCATACTTTTATTCCACAAATCACTTTTTTCTCAGATCATGTTGTCTATATCTAACCTTTTTCTACTAACATTGATACTATTACTACCTCTGCTACTCTGGCATTTGTTTTGATAATTTCACATAGGATTGCTGATGCCTTTTCAACTTGAACCGACTGATGTACACGCCAAGTTCTACCATACTAATGACTGATTGAAATTTTCACTTGATTAAAATTGCCGAGTGGTGGCTTAGTGGTTAAAATGTTCGACTTTCAGCCATTAAGCTCCAGGTTCGAACCTTGCTTCATCTATTTCAGTCTAGGCAACCAGGTAGTAGTATCCCTAACTTTTACACTTGGAGTGTAAGTCGTAACCAAGTAATTAGTGAATGAGTTGATTTAATTTAAAAATCAATGATTGAAACTGCACGGTACAATAGTAAAATCGTGAATAACTGTAATTTCTTGAAACACGACAGATTCATTAAGATTATGACGAGCTAAATACTGATACAGTTGTTTGCTAAGACTGCGAAATATTTTTTTCTACCTGCTACTTATTACAACAGAACAATACCGCCTTGGTGATGCAAGGAGGAAAAGTGAGACCGTAGAAACAGACTAATTTGTTCACCAACCACTACAAATTAAACATTATTCACAATAATAATGATAATAATAATAATGAATGAATGATAAAAAACAATCAGTCATCTAACTTGATTGAGAAATCTAATTCATTTCTAAATTATATTTTTGTTTTATTCTTAACAATAAAAGCCCCTAAACAAAAATACTTTTAACAATCAAAGCAGGAAATTTTTCTTCTACTCATATAAACTAAAGTGTAAACATTAAATCATAATTATTGTAAGTACAATCAGAATAAAACATCTTTTAATAAATAATTAAATCATACTGTTATTACAATCGGATATGATAAGCATAAACTAATCAGCCAATTAACAAACTGGGACACACAACACTGTACGGTGAGAAGTTTTAATGGTGGTAGTAGTAGTAGTCGGAATATTAAATGTGTAAGCACTAGAGAGTATTTATCAGTAGAATAATTATGTGGTAAAAGTATAATACACCGACAGTCTTGAGTTAACCAACCAGAATTAAGACGACGCCTCATGAAATTTTGCGCAGATTTTAAAATGCAATGGAAGATAATATGTATTTTATTATTAACCAAGTAAAAACTGACAATTTTCGGTTCCTAAGATGCTTGAACCAATAAAATTATCTATTGTGCAAACAAAAAGTGAATTTTAGATGGTTCTCAGGATAAACGACATAGCATACCTGTCCCTAAGGCAGATTGAGTGTTAAAGTGCTTGATGTGGTTCAATGAGTAAACAAAAGTATTTAGTGAAGCTAGATAATATTCTCGCTTTCTTACTCTTACTCTAAATGTCAACCCTAAGTTAATTGAGTTTGTAAACAGAAGAGTGGCAGAGCACTGCATTATAGCTGATATCAGTTCACGTTGAAAACCCTGACTCTAATTTCGTAAACCTAACTCAAAATTCCAGTCTAACTGTGTTATATTCCGATGAGAATAATGAATGGTAACTTTTAGGACCCATTTATGGACCAATACTATGCGTACATTTTTATCGTATAATTTTTAAATGACTAAACTACTACTCATAAGCTCTATTTTGACCTATGAACTACTATTATACGATTTACCATTCTTGAGTTATGCCCTGTCTATCGATTACTACCTCCCACATTCACAGCCACTTTTGGCTAAATCTTGTACAAATGTTGTTTCCTATTTTATGGTACGATGTAGTCTGTCTGTCTGGTATATAAACCCAGTACGTTTGAAATAAATGATTGATATCGCAGAGGCCGAGACTAGTGTTCTGAAGTTAACAGGCTGGGCTAGGCGGTAAGCAGGACCGATAAGGACTCTAGACTGCTCGTACGGATTTTATGCGTCATTGGTCCGATCGATAATTTACTGTTCTCTAATTGGCGGTATCACTACGTTATACATTGACAGAGCACACAAGCCACAAGTTATAATAAACTGTTATTACTTAACCCTAACCGTTTTGTTTTATAATTGAAGTCAGTTTGTGATATAGGGTGATAACCCTAACTCACAACACTAGCCCGACCTCTCAAAAAAAAAAAATATATATATATATATATAATTTAACATGTGAAGATTAATTATTCAGATCAAAATTCTTATTCTACTGTTATTACTTTGTACTGTTTTACAACTAGTCAGCATTTTCTGATTGGCTAACAAGTCACACAAGGCCATCAGCACAGTATACTTTTGCCCATTGTGTTACTGACATTCATAATAATTATTATACATTCAATGTAATTGGGATTGAATAGAATACAAGCAATAACAACAACAAACACAACATACCAATATCCATATCACTATCTGCTTCATCATCGGTATCACTATTATCTTGAGATGTAGAAGGTTGGGTATTGATTACGGTAGGTTCAGAAAAACATGTACTATCTTCATAAACAAATCCAATAGCAGCTTTCGATTCTTGAGCTCTGAAATTGTGAAATATTTTAAATTAATTATAAATAATAAATAAGTAGATTATTAACGAATAGTTTAATATCATTGTGTAAAAACAACGAAACTTGATTATAAAATGAAATAGATGTGTAAGCTAAATAGTATTATATGTGTTGACGTGATTAACTTTTAGGAAATATTACAACTCTATAAATAATACTAAAAGTGAAATGATTTTGAGAATTAATGCGAAATTTAAAATGTTGTGTTAAGTATAATTACCTTATGACAAGAACAAAAATCAACAATTCCTAAAAAGACTTCAATAAGTTTTATGCGTACAGATAATTTGTGTAATCTACTTGAGATCTTTTTAAACAAATTTATCAACAGCTATCTACGCAAAATACTTCGGATCCGTTGGCCAGACACTATCAGCAACAACCTACTATGGGAGAGAACAAACCAGATCCCAGCGGAGGAAGAACAGAAAGTGGATAGGACACACATTGAGGGAAGCACCCAACTGTGTCACAGGACAAAGGAGGAAAAGCCGAAGACCAAAGAACACATTACGTCGAGAAATGAAGACAGACATGAGAAAAATGAACAAAAATTGGATAGAACTGGAAAGGAAGGCCCAGGACAGAGTGGGTTGGAGAATGCTGGTCGGCGGCCCATGCTTCGTAAGTAAGTTATTGGTTGATTGTAAAGAAAATATGGAAATAATTATTTATTTGCAGAAAAAAAACTCAAACTGTACGATATGAAAAATGACAGCCTCGATTGTTTCATAGACATTTTGAAAGAATCTTTTATTTTGATGAAGTTTATGATGAATATGAGGAAGAAATTTAAAGCAATCACAGTTCCAAAGAAATTATCTAATGATAATATTGTCACATTTAGATCTAGACCAATAATCCTTCCTTTCCTTTATAATGCTATTTCTTAAGCTTCCTTCTTTATTAAATGCAAGAAGTATTTTAGATATGTATGGAAAAGTGTGACAAATATGCTTGACGTACGCTTCTGGATTACAATCCTGTCTTTACTAATTGTTACAAGATCTCTGCTGTTAAGGAATTTCGCTAATGTAGAGAGAGAGCTTAATAACTAACTAACTAACTGTGTTCTGCTTTTGTAAAAAAATTAGCAAATGTTATTCTAACAGATACAAACCGCCCATTTCATTCACATCATTCCTCTTCTATACCTCCTGGCATACTGAGAAACAAATCCATCAAAATTCATGTACCCAAAGAAAGCCAGGAATGTTCTACAATGACATATCTAGAATGTACTATACAACAAAGAGGCAGTAAGGGTTGAACTAACTAAAAATCCTTACTTGTGAACATACACATCTATTATCTACTGTTTCAAGGAGTCGTTTTAAATCTTAAACTTTTATTTGCTCTATGTATATTTTTTTCAGAGACACACATGAAGTATCAAACGAATCTGTTTGGATATGTTTATATAAAAAAATTTAAATAATTAACAATATATAGCAACTAATAAAACTATTATTAAAAAATACGGTAACTGCTACATCCCCCCTCTGAAAAGGAAATTTCGCACAGGCATTGGTAGTCGACTTTAAAAACTCAGTATAAAAAGGGAATTGGACAAACAGGCATAAACAATGCAGGACGATGCGGTAAATTTGCGTTGATCTAAGTCAATACGCTTCATATCATCACCACAGAGAGACCATCAGCGAAATTCCACATTACAGAACTTGTGAACAAATTTCGAGCGTGTTTAATTTTGTCTTTTTTCGCAAACAATATGTATAATATTTTTTTGGTATCACAGTCTTGAACTATACCTCTATGAACCTACTTTGACTTTTTTATTGATTCATCTTATAGAGATGGTTTAGTGGTTTAAACACTCGACTTTTAACCAATAGGTTATAGATACAAATCCAATTCCGCATATTTTGGTTTAGCTAATCTGGCAGTATCACTTACCGTCACATAAACAATATGACTCAAAGCCAAACAAATGAACATGTACTTGGTAAGTGAATTGTATTCTTTCCATCATCTTATCGAAATAATTCAATCTTTGAAAAAACTAATGAACTAGGTAATGAAAGTAATTAGAAATGAGATTTTATGAACACCCTACTTTTTGACAGTAGCCTCTTCCTCTTCTTTACGTCGTTTTTCCATATCACCATACTTTTCATCCATTTCGATTTGTTTCAAAGCCATTGCTTCGGTGACTTAGGATAGAAGAAATATACAGTAAAACGATTGCTCCATGAGAACTTAATGAAAAGTAAATATATATGTACAAGATAGAAATAATTTAGGTATTTATCATTTCTGAAATCTTGTATATTAATCTGTGCACAACTTGCTCATGCGGTTATATTTTTCTGTGAATCAGAACAAAGAGCATTTATGGTTGCAGACTAGATGATATTGAGGAATCAATTCAGTCAAACTGAATTTGGAAACTGATATCATAAATTGATGTGTAGTAAGATATACACAATTTTGATAACAACGTTACAGAAAAACTTGCGTCTTGTCCGTAAATACTATGACAGACAGAAGACGGACTGGTATCGAAACATAAATTTGTTGGATGTTTGATAACCTTTAGACATAATTATGACATTTATGCCATACCGTATTTATTATCACAATATCCTTATCTTGTCTTATGTAATGTTATAGAGAAATAGCAACACATCTTTGTGACTTTTTAAAAGTATTATTCACAAGTAGCTGTCACCCGACCACATTGTACTATTTCGTAAAACTAGTTTATCAATTGACATTTTATCTGTTATTTTAAATTTAACCATGAACATAGCAAACTAAAATAGTAACCCTTAACAGATATCACTTGGATACAAAATTCATACGGCTGATGATTAAGCATGATGACAGTAAAGTTCAGTAACCAGTAAAACATTTCCACTTAGCTACGCATCTGTAAAATAATTCTTAATTACTATAGTGATCGAAGGTGGCTTGCTGTATTAAAATGAGGTTGATAAATAATGGAGTAGAATCATTAGCTAAGTAGTAATCATAGCAGAAGAAAATATTATCTAAAATGATGACATTAAATTCAAGTTACAAAAAAGCTGAAGGAAATCTTATTTGAACACATAAATATTGGTACAATGGGGCACCAGATATATATGCGCCAGCTCATGTTTAGAAACAAAAGACATTATGTGTGAAAATATTTGCAATAATCTCAGCGATTGAAATTTAAGTAGTTCTAACGTTCCGTCCATCAATCTTTTTTGGACTTCTTCAGAATGGAAATCGGAATGATTGATGAATAGTAGATAAAATGTTTAATGTCTTTGGTAATAGACAAAGACTGTATTTACTCATACCAATTATTAACTACTGATAACATAAGGGTATACATACATTATTAGCATTTTACTGACTTATATTCTCCCACTTAACAGTCAACATCTGGATACAATTAGGTGAGCTTTAGGTGTAGATTTGTTTGTTAGAGGTTACAAATTCTTTGATAATATTGATTACTACTCCATAGAAGTCGAGACAAGATTGATGAACGAAACGTTGGAACTAATAAAATTACAATCGTTGAGATTATCTCAAATGCCATATCCCCAAATAATGTATTTGATATACTCGATGCGCAATTTCTGTCAAACTTTTTGTTGGAATATTGATGAAGGTTCATAAAACCTTTACTGTACAAACTGGCTAGTATACCCTTGACCATAACGACTGCAGTAAACCACGATGATAAAATGCGTTAAAATTGGTTTCAAACCGGGAAATAAGCAGTCTTCTTTGAGAAATACATTAGATTGTGCTATTAGATGTGTTGATACAACTGCTTTATCATTCGCCTAATATGACGGGTGTTACACGGAGAGTGAAGTGTTTGTCTAGATGCAATTTGTTTTTTGTATCACAAAGAAATGTAGGACGCACGATGAGTATGTTGGAGGAAATGCAGGTGAAAAATATTGCCCAAACTAGTGTGATTTTAAAAGAACACATTTGGAAGTTAGTAAATTTATAACTGACAATCTCCTTCATCTAATTTTTCACTAAATATTTAGAACCAACATCCCAGATACAGATAACGGCAGTGGTATAAGAATAATTTATTTAGACGAAAAGCTTTAAATGAATCTGATGTATAAGTAATTACTAAAACGTTCGTTTATTTTAACTGCTGAATAGCCTAAGTGAGTACTATGTCGTACAATTGCAAACACAAAACCCCTGAACCACTAAAGTTCTGTATACAAACTAACGAAAAAAAAATCACATAAGATGAAATGTACTGCAAAAGGAAGATAAAAAATCCCCCCATTCATACCTGATGCATATTCATTGTGAATAAGGCACCGATAACGTTCGTAGTTACATAGTCTGGCTTCGATTCTTTCTGTCGACGAAAGTCTAAATGTAAATTATTACAAATCTGTTAGATGACGAGCATACTTGACATCATCAGCTACTCCAGTGTCATAGTGTTCCAAGCTAGCCCGTACATCAAAGCGATCGATCATAATAGATGGGTCTCCAATCCAGGGCATCCTTTTTCATCAAAGTAAATGTAAAACGACAATATTATGAAACGTGAAAAAGAAACATGAAAATCTAAATTTAGACAGATTTGTCGAAACCTAAAGAGGTTCAGATGTCAACCATTTTGTGATATTCAAATGAGGAGACTAATAATAGTCTGATTTGAATATTAACTTAGGTTGACAAACTTTGTGTTAGTACATCCAAAGAATGTTGGTGAGGAAAAACAACGGGATTGAGAAGTAGATCTTATAGTAATGTAGATTTGAAAGAAACAAAAAAACAAGAGATCACAGTATGAGATAGGGCAATATCTAAGACTAAGGAGAACAAATGATGAATCTTTGGGTCACTATGGCTGATTTTCAGTTATGCAACCTAGGCTTACACCGCTGTTGACAATAATAGTAATAAGAGTATGATTGATAAGACCATAATTTATGAACGATCTTTGAGCGACGCTAAACTGACCTTTAGTGTCCACGTAATAACTAGGACCAAATAAGGGTTATATACCAGTGTGAGGAATTAGAATTATGATTTACAGTTGATGGTTAAGGTTATAAATTAGATTTAAGGTATTCATCACTAACTGATATTAGCTATTATGCCAAAACTCTATTTAGCCAAGTGCATGAGTGAATTTCGCGCCAAAGCCTGTTACCTTATACCTGAATGGTTCGCTCATAAATTAGTCTAGCCGTATGATTCACTCTAAAAGCTATATTATCTGATTATCACATTTTGTTCTCGGAAGCTTCAGAGTAAAACGAAATTCTGTTACTCAACCTAAGATAGCTTGCTCTATTGAGTCATAAAAACTTGGCGGCAGATGATAAATAAATTATTAGGATCTATTTTCTTGTACTCTTAACTCAAAATGGCATACAACACAAGTGTCCGGAACTAAGGAGGCTAAACGACATGCCTGAATACGCCAATAAAAATGTATTCATTTTTGTTCTCAAGTTAGAATAATCACTCCATACCAAGTGTAATTTAATAACCAGGTATATGCCAATGTACTTAGCTTTGAAAAAAGTTGCGTAAAGGCTAGCGGTACCACTTGACATACAAAAATGAAAGCGAGGTTTAAATTTGCAATCTGTTGGATAAAGTTAAGTGCTCTAACCATATGCTTAAGCAAACCCATCTTTCAGATGAAACATGAGTAACCCCACCACATACTGTCACCCAAATCCTATAAATTATCTATTAGACGAATAAAATTAATTAATAAGCAAGTCAACCTTTGAAAATTAACCTATCAAGAAGACCTACTTCACTAGTTTATCACTTTAAAAAGTATATGGATGCTGAACGTGTCTGTTTTTACCGGTAACAATTTTTTCCTGCGGAAAAATGCATACTGCTTCAGTTACAATTTGATTTTAACAAAAATGAGTATCAACAGGTATACATTACGCGACTGAAACACGATAGCGTAGAAACACAACTGCCAACTACGCTGAAATCAGAACTCTGAATTACATATTTATGCTCTTAAAACTGTGTTCACAAGAAAGCTGTACTAACGTGAAAAAATTTAAGTGGGAGTAGCGAATTCCTCCTAAGGCCACTAAAACAAATTAGGACAATTCATAGCCATTTAATGGGTGGATAAAACCAAAAAACCTACTAAGACCAATATAAATCTGTAGAGAAATCCCTAAAACTAGTACCAATAAATAAAAGTAAGCAGATATTGCAGTGTATACACGGGTTTCATTGAAATGACATGAAATTACATGTTATTAGGGTTTTCAGCAGCCTTCGTCACTTCGGAATCCAGATGAAGCTTCGAAGATCTACCAAACAAGCGAAGAAATTTGATTGGGTCTTGTTTCTAAAAAGGATGTATGATGTATAACAGTCTTACAATGCGCTCATAATAATCTCTCCTCCGCTCTGCTCTCCTCTTATAATCAACCATCAATGTCTTGATATGTTTCTCTTGCTTGCGTGCTTCCTGCCACATTCTTAAGTCTTTTGATAGGAAATAAGTATCCCACACAGTAAAACAGACCACTACAACCACCAACGTACGATAATAAAGTAGCGTATAACACCAAATGTTGCCAACTCTGACTAGCTTGCTCCAATGTACCTGCTCAAAATCCAATCCTAAGTCACTATATCTACAAAAGCTTTATCGCTTTATTTTTGTTGAGAGAATGTCGGTATTTTTTCTCAAAACGCTTGAAGTACACTCACCATATCTAAATAAATTTTCTATAATCTAGGACGGTATAAAGAGTCATGTCAAGTAGAAAGGAAAAATGAAGTTATGTAACAGTCAAAATGTAGCCTAAAAAGATCCCCTACACGCAGTATGAATTTGTAGAACAGCCCTTTTTAAATGATAAATTAGGGGGGGGGAACAAGAGTGAAAAATGAACTATACAGGTCCTGGACAAATACTGTCATATAAAAGACTAAGAGAAAGTTCCGAAAAGTAGGAATACTGTCGGACAAAACACTTTAGAGAGGTTTTCAGATGATTGATTTTGTTACAACGGTACTGTGCAGCACTGTTTTTCAGCGATACAGCTAGAGTTATACAATAGACAGCAGGAAAACACAAATTTCCTGATAAGCATCAGACACTATTGCAGAGGAAGAAATCAGGAAGAATAGCTGGAAGTGGATAGGACACACGTTGAGGGAAGCACCCAACTGTGTCACAGGACAAAGGAGGAAAAGCCGAAGACCAAAGAACACATTACGTCGAGAAATGAAGACAGACATGAGAAAAATGAACAAAAATTGGATAGAACTGGAAAGGAAGGCCCAGGACAGAGTGGGTTGGAGAATGCTGGTCGGCGGCCTATGCTCCATTCATAGTAACAGACGTAAGTTAGTAGAAAAAGTAAGAAGACACTATTCTGTGCCACGAAATTGAGCACACATGAATTTTCAAGAGAAAAAAGATACCACAAGTATTCTGAGTTTGATAACACCTAAACCAGCAACACCTGTTGTAATCTAAACGTATCAACCCAGTGAAATCAGAAGTCAGAGGCGAAGAGGCTCGAAGACATATTTGAAAGAATATCGATATATCGGGAAGTGACTGATCTAAGCTGGTTGGCGGTTGCAGGGGAAATGAAGCACGGAGTACTCACTTGTGATCTGGTGCGGATGCATGACCTAGTGCCTTCAGCTAGGTGAATCTATTAAACCTAATGCGGTGAGCATCAAATGTTGAAGACTTACAGAGCTATTGATTGTGTGGATTTATATATATAAAGAGTGAAGTAATGCTTCTTGTTATCTTAAGCTGTATATTCTGTTGATCTTTTCACTCAAGATGAGACATTTGCTGCTGTCTCATGTATATTTTTATGTTCCTACTGGTTTTCTATTATTCTTACGATTTACATTGACTTTGTTTACACGACAATTTGATTTTGGCGGCTGGCATGTTGATCCGTTCCCCTTTTGACTGTATAACTTAAACTGGCATGGTATGAAATCTAGTTCAAGGTGTACATTTTTACACGTTATTATGGTATCTTTCGAAAACGCTAAAAATTAGCTCTGAAGTTTGTGATCACGTAAATGCTAATTAATACGTCTTCTATGGTAAAATACTGCACTAGGTGGTAGGATGACAGTGCTACCAAAAGGATGATTTGATGATGGATATGAACCAGAATATTGATTTTGTGCCGAAAATTTCTTCTGCTATATATAGATTCATAACATTTTAGGCTTTAAGTTGATCATTTTCAGTAACAATGACTTAAATAAATAGGATAACTGCAGCAATTTTATCTTCTTTTGTAATGCGCAGAGTGATGACAATGCTAAAATATGACACAGGGTCTTTGACCAGATCAGCTGATTTTTTTCGTCCCTAACCGTATTTTGTCAGCAGGGAACCGATATCAGACCAGTTAACTCTACATTTCACTGCTCCAACTTACAGTAAAATTTTAAAAGACCGATATCGGCCAATATATAAAGACAATGATTTAAAAGTTGCATTAGCAGAACAAAAGTGACGTGATCAATCGGAATGTTGTGACTGCTTTTTCTAAAATTTAAAGCAACGAAGTTGTCGTAGAACATTCGTGATAAGTTTTCCGGAGTCCACGAAAGCTGGTTTAGCTTATATGCCAAAGCCTGAACTGGCCATTAGTTGTACTTTACACTGAACTAAAAGCCGGTCGGGCATATGTAACTACCGACTCTGAAGAAGGGAAAAATTTAATCGGCGTAGATGGCGACTTAAAGGAAAGGTAAAATCCACGGAGCTTAAACTTATTATTCAGTGTCTAGGTACTTTTTTCCGGTTGGTTTAAAATCTATAATTACTCAACAAACCTTTGATTGCCAGGTTTTCGAATTAAAACTTTCTAAATACCAAACCAAACAATGTGAATCCGAAATGTCCAAGGTCACAGTTATAAGTAAACAAGTCCAAAATTTCAGTAAAACCGATGTACGGAAAACAGTGAAATTAATAATATTCAGTATGACAAATATTAGTCATTCAAATACCTTCATTTCTTCTTGCAACATCTATTGACCACTGAAGACGGTTCCGTGAGACTATAACCTATGGACGACTTTTGGGCGATGACAAACCGACCTTGAGATTGTCCGCCTCATTACTCGGATTAAATGAGTGTTTAGAATTCCTGTGAGGAACTATCAGAAGTTAGAGTTAGAAATTGAGATCAGGATATTCATCAGAAAATGACATCAGCTATAATGCCGAAGTGCTATTTAACCGTATAGATGAATGAATTTTGTACCGAAATGCAAGACCAGATTTCTTAAATATGATTGGTTCGTCCATGAATCAAAGTTTAGCCAACGGTTCTAATGAAATGCTTAATAAAATGATAGACATCATCAAAATTCAAAGAATTGCACACGATTCCAAAGCCTTCTCATTTTGACGTACAAGCAGAAAATATCCAGACCATGAGAACAAATATCGGTTCTGTTACTGCTAAGAAATTCAAAGACCTGAAAAGGAGAGCAGATAAAATCCTTCGGTGTGGAATCACCAGACCGTACGCAAAAGAAACAACGATGATATTACTTAGACAAAAATCTTCGTACAAGAGCTTTTCCACAATCTAGGAAAGGTGTACTAAAACAGTTCAATAAAACTATGGTTTATATGCAAGCTAGTTATAACAACCGAGTACGTTACAAGGGCACAGGTGAGTCCGTTCCAATTTCCGCCATTAATTTTGACACTAATAAATACATTCTAGGTCATTCAGATTCTGTATTCAATATAAAGTCTGACCAAAAGAAAAGTAAAGTAGATTCCAGAAACCTGGATTCCTATTCAAGCTTTGAAGCTTAATGCACTTACATTAACTGATGATTCCTTTGTACTTCTTGGTAATTACAACTTTAGTTTACATCTAGTTGCACTCATCTAGTTCCATCCGCCCTAAATTGTATTATTTCGGGTATTCTTAGTTAGAAAGTCAGGATACTTTTAATCATCATATATATCCACAAAGTGTAGAATAATATTCCTACATTACCGTGAATGTCTATCTTTTGGAACTGATTTAGTTTTTTTCAATATCCTGTATCTTTTTTAAGAGCCTCTGTAAACCGACTAACTTCTGTGAGCCTAATCGTTGTTGTTTCGGCCCGTTTCGGTTATCTTGTGACGTTCAGCGTATGACAGTATAGCCACTAGGCTGCACTAGTTCTAATCACATTGGCAGTTATTTCTGAATTCGCATATCTTTTAGTTTGAGTAAATCCTTATATCTCAGGGAAATAGAGTTTCTGGATACTAGTAGCTATAACATTACTAGAAAGGAGGTTGGTTAGTTGCAATGAGAGGAATCAGTAATACGGTCATGCAACTTGGTAAGTGGCAGAATGAAATACTTATAGATTACCAGCACGGATGGCCTATATGGATGGTCGGTCTACCCCCGTCGGATGGGAATGGAGTGACTTTGTACGTTACATTGAAGTCGCACTCAACGGGTAATACTTAGTGTGTATTACCTTGTAGATTGTTGTGGCACTGGACCCTAACTACACGACTTTAGAAGCCGAGCATATAATTACCGAAAAAATTTATATTCAACAACTGGTACGAAGAGAAGGTTAGCAATCGAGAACGCGGGAACATTAATTCAATCAGTTGGATGGCATAGCTCAGCCTCATAGGCGTGGTCATTCTGTATAAATTGTCTTTATTCACATTAAATATATTATCCTATCTTCAGCCTTAATGTGTTCTTCAGAAGTACTGAGTGTCATATTATTAATTGTTGCGATGAGTCAGTGTAAACAATGATGTGACTTCCACGTAAAATCTTATAGATCAGGTGGTTATATCATGACATATCTACAATTTTAGGATTAGGTCTATTTTTATAATAGTACTGAGAACGAATTAGACTATAATTCTTCAAGTTGTGCTCAGGTGCAGTTGTTATCTTGTTAACTGTACGGAACAAACATACTCCTAATAGAGAGACGTATTGTGATAAAAGACTGTAAAAGTATAAGGTAGAGCCACTGCAACCTAAGCCAGTCTGTGATGATCGATTGATCGATCCGCGTTGGTCGTCTTTGACCTGGATGAAGATTTGTAAGCTATTCGACATTCATTGATCTGCCTGTTAGTTGGTTTGACTTGGACTCAGTGACAATTCACTAACCCTACGTGTTAAAATAAAATTAACTCACTCAGTAAGAACTAAGCATAAACTAAACTATTGGTTAAAACTAAGGAACTGTACCACTGTATACAGGGTGAAGCGATGGGCGATTATGATAATTAGAAGTATTTGAATTATAGTATGAACTAAGAATCCCAGAAATCACGTAATTGGATCAAGAACTACTACATAAGCATGAACGAATGTATTGTATTTAGAATTCGAAATCAGACATTTAACAAGTACAAAGGAGTCATTAGTTCATTCAAACACCACATCCGCCACAGCTTAAATTAGAGTCTAAGTGTCTGTAATCAAT